TTTAAGGTTACTAAATCAATTTGTAACTATTATTACTTTATTTAGTAAGAGATTTGTATCTCTCTTGCAAGAAATAAATGACCTCTTGATGATTAAATATTTTTTTAATTTTTGATATTTTTTCTCTTATATTCTAAATTTATTTGACTCGAAGGAAAATAGTGTTTAGAAAACTGAGAAAAAACTAGAATTATATATTTTTATTTTGGATCACTTTTAGGCTTTCTAGGATCTTTGCATATGAATATGTTTATTTTTTGAATGCACTAAGTAATATTGCTACTATAGTCAAAACGATTATACCAACATTCTGACTCATGCTATTTTTAAACAATTTAAATAACTTTTTCATTTCTTTTCTTTTACTTAGCAGTAAGAAATAATTTTTTTATTTTTTTTTACTTTTGCATCATAAATATATATAGATATTGATTTATAGTTGAGGACATGGGGTTGAAATTTGAGTGATGACTTAATTTACTTTTTAGACACTTATTATGATTTTAAAAATCTGCATGTATAAATTAGAGGCTGAAATTAGGTTTAGTGGTTAGGTTGAACTTTATTTTGAGACCATGCATTATATAAAATAGAATTAAGTACATAAAATTAGCCGTATAAGTAGTTTTTAAGGCAAAGTGCAATGTAAATAAATATTATATTTTAATTTAGATAAAAATTTATATTTTAATATTATATAAATTAAAAAAATTAAACAAGTACAAAGAACAAATATAATAAATGTGCAACACAAATCATAAAAAGACTATAGTTAACTATTAAATAAACCAGTCATTCTAGGTTTGAAACTTAAGCTCTAAAAGAGTGAAGAAACTCTCATATTAAGAAGGCTATCTAGTTTTATCTAAAGCCGGAGTCGGAGCCACATAATGTGTCGTGGAATCAATTGATCTCACTCAATTTTTTTAAAAAATTATAAAATTGATAAAAAAATTAAAAATAAATTTTAGAATTTTTAATAATTAAAATAAATAAATGACCTTACCAAAAAATATTTCTAGCTCTGCACTGTTTAAGGGCATATATTTTGAAACACTAAAGTTTTATATGGATTTAGTTTTGAGATTCTCATTTATATATTCTTGAAACCACTAAGACATACATGCATTTAAGAAAAGTTGTTAATATTTTAACAGATATGATTTGATCAAAATCGAGCTGACCTTTTTTACACCGTTAATCATACGGATCGGCTTAACTAAGTGGAAGAATCATGCCCCGCTTGAAAGAATCTTGATCATCTGGGAAGTATTAGTCACGTAGAAAAAATATAGCAATGTGGAAGATTCTTCATTAATATATGTTTGCTAGATATAGGTTTTATAGTAATAGCATGAGAAGACCAAAATATATATATAACTAAAGTGGATAGTTTAGGTTCAATCTCACCAATGTTATTAAAAAGATTTTAATAAAAATAGATCGATACATTTTCATGAAAATCATAATTATAATTGTTGATGAATTAATTAGTGATCCTAAATTACATGGACATGGAATCTCCTAGGAATCAAATATCATTCCACCAATCTAGATATAGCATATTCTTTTTTTTTTTTTTTTTTTTTGAATCTCCTAGGAATCAATATCATTCCACCAATCTAGATATAGCCATATTCTTTTTTTTTTTTTTGGGGGGGGGGGGGAAGAAGATATAGCATATTCTTACAAGCTCACTTGTAGTCCAAATGAATATTCAATAGAAGATTGATTAGTGATGATACTTTTACCAAATTAAAAATAGTTTATTTTGTAAATTTTGTTAGATAAATGGTCTTTGCACAAAGCTAATTATTTATTTGATTTTGATTAGGGTCCCAAATCCAATAGATATATACGAATAAAAAGAATAACCACTGATACCATTGCCATAATTATTCTTTTAATGAAAAAACAAACATGAGGGAGTTTTAGGATCTATTCGGTAAAATTAATTATTTTGTAACTGTTAGCTATTTTAGTAGCTGTTAGCTGTTTTAGTAGGTTTAACTGTTAGTTATTTGAGTAGCAGCTTTTCATGAAACGCTAAAAAGCTAAAGATTACACGAGTCAACTTTTCACAAAACATTATCTTAACCTCTAAGAACTGATTCAAACACTATGTTATCGAACACTATAAAAAATAGTATTTAGCATTACTTAAAAAGGTGTTGTCGAACACAGTGCTAATAACTAATAGTTTTTTGTATTATGAAAATATATATAATCATTAAAAGGTTACTTCAATTGGTAAGAATAAGAACTCTTTTTTCTCAAAATTTACATTTAGTAACGGTAATGAAATGCTATGTAATTCAATGAAAGACATCTTTAGTGTTAATTTATGTGTATAAATTGATCTGAAAATATTCTTATATGTGAGATACATGGATCAACATACTTTATTCAAATTGCCATGATTTTTGTTAATAAATAGTTAGATTAGCAAAATTAATTGTATCTATAAGAAAATTTTACTTCTAGAATGATTTTACATGAATATTATTTCCGACTCTAGTGCAAAGACACATATATAAACTAATATATATATATATATTCATGATTTTAATAAAAAGTATATTTGATCCCGTCTTATGTATATTCTTAAAAGGAAAAAAAAAAAGGGGGGGGAATTCACCGTTGAAGGGATACAATTTATACGATTTACCATTAAAGGGACAAAAACCAACAAATTGCACATATATATACGAGATCAATGAGACTCCATTAGAGAAGATGTAAACCATTATAATAGCAATTGGGCTATCTGAGTGGGGATGTTTTGATAGAGAAAGAAACACCCAAAATGGATTGATTTGTAGATGAAAAAAAAAATAATGGGAGATGGTGGCATTCGTGTGGAAACCACACTCCCTCTCATTTAATAATATTATCTCAATCCCACCTCTCCCTCTCAACCATTAGTGCTCTCCAATTCAGCAATCCATTTTCTTAGTCATTTATTAATTAGATATCTTTTTTCAGTATCTAGACAGTATTTATACATCACTATGCACATACGACTGAGGCACAATGAAATTTTGGTACGTATGCATGCATAGCTTCAGCTTAAATTGGTATATTTGCGTTTTTATGACTAGGCCATCTTGAAGATGCGCTATATATCCTATGATAACTTAAGGTACTAATCCACCATTGATGATATTTGGTAAAACTCCCCAAATAACAACGATTTCAGGATTTGAATTCTTACCTTTATAAAATAGGTTTACCTGGAAATCCAATCGGTTTTAGCTTATTCAACAACCTGTTAGTATTAATTAGTAATTCTTTAATCCCTTCTCACTATTTGGATATTTTGTTGAAACAAGATTGTTGTTAACTATACATTGAAAAGAAAAAGATAAAGCAAGAACAATGTTTGAAAAATTTATATTTTCATTGGTTTGGTCTACGAATGCGACATGGACATGTATTGACCGAGCTAGGAGATCAGGATAGTCCCGCCCCCTAACAATTTTTTTTTTTTTTTTTTTAAAGAATCACCAATAAAAAGATTGAAATTTTTAATTTCTGGGTGTCATTGTAAACACGTCAAGACAAGTCTAATTCCTCAAAATATTTGTTTCTTAACATAGAAAATTAAAAATTCAAATTATAACAACTCCTTCTCCTTCCTAAGAATTTCTAATAGATACGCTAACGAACATAGTTTCCAAGAATATACAGTGGGTATATATATACATATTATTGGAATGAAAACGCGAACCAAAATGATCATAATGTGAAAATAAAGACATCTCCTAAATTGGCAAGTTTAAAGAACCAGTTAATTATTAACCTAACAACCAATGATTCAGTAACTAACTAATCTGAACTATCAAATTATATTCCAAGCACTGATAATATTCACTCTAATTCAATAAACTGGCTGCAGAAAATACTTGAGAAAGAAAGATATATAACAGAAGAAACTGATCCGCTTGAAACGCTTGAAAATATGTATCTTTTTTTCATTTTCTCCATATATGGATGCAATTTATAAGAAGAGAGCTGTCTGTTTTGTTTGTTTTGTCTTGTTCAATGGTCATGCTTTAGTCATGACTGATGAGCTTCCACTCTAGTCAGATATAACTGCATGTCTTAAAGTGTATATATGATCTCTCCTATCTTAGGGTAGACAGATATATTAGTCTTCTTTTTTCGTCTTCTTCTCGTGATTACTATATTGGGAAGTGAATTGCACGTTAAATAATTGAAATGATTATAATTAGATAGATGGCGGATCTAGCACAAGCTAATTAGTTTTTTCACGTGAGTTTCAATATTCACTCATAGAGTGCATATATGGATGATGGATGATGGATGGATGGACAGCAATTGCAAGAAAAATGATCTTTCTTTTTATATCTATAACTTTGCTTCTTTTACTTTCTTTCTTTCATTAAGTTTTCTTTTTCTGTGAAAAAAAAAATACATTTTCCATTTATTAATCTTCTTTAATTCCTAATGAATCATAAAGATATGATTCAAACAAAATTTGGACATGGTTGTGTGATATATGCTTCTTTAAGGTAATCTTTCTATAAGTTGTTCTTCCTAACCTTGTCAAAGTCTTGGCGAGTTTTTATTACTTTGGTTTTTCTTCACAAAATGTTATATGAGAATGTTCATTTTTTTTTTTTTTCTACAAAAGAAAGATTTCATTTTTAATTATTATCTCTTCTTCATTTTAATTTCCCATTGCCTTGTTCTATTTTCCATTAACGGCAACAAATGAATTTTATATATATATATATAAAAAGAAGATAAACAACCTGAATATGTATATAGCACTAATACTACAGCACAAGTAATAAACCTTACTGTTAAAATACGTATCTAGCATGTATAATAAATATAACTTTCTACTAAATAAATAAATAAGTACAATTAATAAGTATAACTTTCTTCTTCTTCTTCTTCCATTAGTGACCATACCCCACTTTTGCCCTCCACCATTGCAAAGTTTTCTCTATAAATACCCTTATTCAGGGCGTGTGTCCTCCACACTTACACTACTCATCTCCTTCTTTTTTAAGACTTGTTTTCATTCCTTCAATGGCAAGCAACAATCAACCATCTCTCTCCAACACCAAATTCCCTCTGGCCATGAATGAGGTGGAGCAACAAGCAACCCTAAGCCTTGAATCCAATAAGGAAGACGACTTTGACTACTCCAAAAGAGCGCAATGGCTACGAGCAGCTGTTCTTGGGGCAAACGACGGTTTAGTCTCCACTGCCTCGTTGATGATGGGTGTTGGCGCCGTGAAACAAGATATCAAGTCTATGATATTAACTGGGTTTGCCGGATTAGTAGCCGGAGCTTGTAGCATGGCCATAGGCGAGTTTGTGTCGGTTTACTCGCAGTTGGATATAGAGTTAGCTCAAATGAAGAGAAAAAGGGAAAAAGAAGGAGAAGATAGAAATGGACAAGAAGACGAAGAAGAGGAGAAAGAAAAATTGCCTAATCCATTGCAAGCAGCTGCAGCTTCTGCTCTTGCATTTTCAGTTGGTGCAATGGTGCCTTTATTAGCTGCCTCTTTTATAAGAAATTATAAGGTGAGATTAGGGGCAGTTGTTGGGACAGTGGGTTTAGCTTTGGTGGTTTTTGGGTGGTTAGGGGCAGTTTTAGGGAAAGCACCTGTGGTTAGGTCTTCAGTTAGGGTTTTGGTTGGAGGCTTAATAGCTATGGCTATAACCTTTGGACTGACCAAGTTGATTGGGTCAAGTGCCCTGTGACTTGTTTTTAATTTCTTGGTAAAGAACTAAAAGCTTGTTAAGGTCCGGTTAATGTGGAGCAAAAACATAAAATGATTTCACATGAAAGTCACTTTATTGAAGACTCGAGTCAGACAAGAATTCCTCCAATTTACTATGTACCCATCTCTTTTATTTTTTTTCTTGCTCTTTTTTCTTTGTTTCAGGAAAGAGTCTGATTTCTTTTTCCTTTCTTTCTTTCGTCTTTTGTCAAGTGGACTGTGTGTCTTGTAACAAAGATAAGTGTTCTTATTAATTTTCTTTGAATATGGGGTGTGACATGAGCGTGGAAAAATGGTAGGGTTACTGTAAACATTTGAAAGGGGTTTGAGATTGGTTGTTCAGTCTCTCTCTCTCATCATTGTATAATTTTAGTTGCAATATTATAAACATAAACGCTTTACACGAGGATTTATCACATCTCTTTCAATCATACAAAATAAGGATATAAAGCTGACAAAATCAAACAACTGTTTGTTGATAAATTTACATATCACGGAGAAAATACCCGCTAATAAATTTACATTTCAGCTTACAAAATCAAAGAATTAAGAGTATTTTATCCTTAATGAATTGATTTGGCGCAAACAAGATTTAGTTTTAGTTTAGTAAGCTGAAGATATCTAATTTTTTAATATAACAAAATTATTTACATATTTCCTTTTTGTTTTGCAATTGCAAAAATATTTAATTCTTTGCTCCATATTTAATTCTCACCGTTGATTCTAGGATTTTATCCCTCTTATTTATGATTTGTGCTTAGATTACATCGAATCAAGCATCACCTTGATTGATTATTTGGTTTATGGAATCTTTCCACTTTGAGTACCTGATATTTGGATTGATTCTTGGATTTGTTTGCCTTTGATTCATTGTTTTGTTGATCTCTTGTTCATCTTTTGATATCCATAAATCTTGTTCTTGTGTTTTTTATTCTTTATTATCTTCCTTCTTGCTCAAACTTGTGTTAGGATTAGTAGATGGTGAGATATTTATACTTGCGTACATACTTGTATAAAAATACTTCTAAAAGTGTCATATAAATGGAACAAGAAAAAAGTCAAAAAAAAATGTCAAAATTAATGGAATTAGTGTAGTCATTTATAGGAAGAACCAATATTAAATACTCTAACATTTAGCATTTCATAGAGATTAATTAAAATTTCTTCCCTGAATTCAGCTAATTAAAACGGTTAATTTTCTTTTTTTGTCATTTTAAATTAAATAACTAATTAAATAACTTTTTTTCTAGAACATTTCTAATTTAAAATGTTATACAACATCTATGACTACTAAAATAATTAATATTACAGAACATAACTCTAAGTTAAACAAAACATAGTAGTTTAATTTAACAATAAGTAATCAAAGCAGAATCCACTCACTACTTCTAAGGAACAAGTCGTAATTTTTTAAAATTCGAGTGGATTTTCTTTTTACTTATTTATATAAAATTATTATTTAAGTTAGTAGTTTAAGAGAAAGAAAACTTCAAAAAAGAAAAAAGAAACCACTTATCATTTATTAAGTTGATAGGGGAATCTTTTTCCACACACCTTTATATCTATTGCTGGAGATAAGAAAGAAAAAGTTGTTTTTCTGAAAAATCACAAATTATTTCCCTAAGAAAAAATTTAAATATAAATTCATGTTAAGTATGTAATTTCACTAATACGTAAAATTAATTAGTATTAATAATCTTTATTATTTTTAAGCTAGAATGCATTGCAAATTTTATTAATCTCTGTAAAATTTGATCTAAATACAATTAAAAAAAGGTAATTAACTATTTAGTGTTTAAGGTTTGATCGATATTAGTTATTCATCCATATTATGGGGTAATATCACTAACTCATCCGTACAGTTTAGCGTCATTAAGCTATTTAGTTCTTTCGTTCAAAAAAAATATTATTTTTATCATTAATTTTTCAATGAAAAAGAAAATACCCTCCAAAAATTAAATAAAGACACATGACAACACAAAACCCTCTCCTCAAACACCAGCATTTGTTAACAGAAAAAATTGATCAGTACAAAATTTAAAGAAGAGGAAAATTGACAGAGAAAAAAAATTGTGCACACTCCCCTCCCTTCACTTCTTTGAACTCTCCAATGCCTCAGCTTTCTTCTTTACAACTGATTAATTGCACCAGTCGTTCTTCAATTTGGAATTAACACGCCTTATCATTTCTAAATATTAATTTTGTATTTCTAGAGATATTTTTTGGTATTGTGTTATGTTTAGGTATGTCCTAAGTTTTGCTGCGTTTGGAGTACTGAATTTGAAATTGCACTAAATATTAATTTTTATTTCTAAGATTAATTTTGTATTTCTAGAGATATTTTTTGGTATTGTGTTATGTTTAGGTATGTCCTAAGTTTTGCTGCGTTTGGAGTACTGAATTTGAAATTGCAATATTTATTGGGCTGTGGAGACCTTGACTTTTATATTAAATAAAAATTCCTGATTTGGTGATTGAAAGAAAGGAGAATAATAACAAAAGAAAAAGGGGAAAGAGGAAAGAACAAACAAAAGACTGAGAAATATTTAAGGTCAAGGGCAGGAAGGAATTAGTTATATCATGAAACTGAAGCTGCAATAGTTCTAATTGATTTACTCATTCAGGTTCTAATACTGGATAAGCAGGATGGTAACGGATTGACCAGCGACGTTTCTAAGATTTAGCAGCCGTCCACGAGATTAAATATATACCCATTCTGCTATCCCTTCTATTTAGGCAGGTCGAATTACGAGTTGCGTCAAGTTTTCTTCAAAAGAAAAAAAAAAAAAATGGAGGAAAAACATATGCTTTAATTTGAAAAAAAGAAAAAAGAAAAAAAGAAAAAGGGGTATATGGTTTTTATTTTTTTTACTTGTCTCATTTGGACTGATTTCGGACATGTATCCAACGAGGCAGATAAAATTGCAATATGATGCACAAGAGAGCAGTACAACGGTGTGGCTATTCTGGCTTTTTTCGGCGACTATTTAGTCATGCCTTGTGTGGCAAGAGGAGATAAGTAAGGAGAATGTTAGATTTTGTATGATGAGATAGGAGATAATTTTTGTCCTTGAAAAATTGATGGCGAAAATAACATCTGATCCGTATATTAATATCCATATTCACTTTGATCCATATCTGATCCACTACTAAACAGAAGAGATTTTATCCGATCTCGGATCAAGTTATTTGATCATCCTAATTGAATTCCACATATAAGTATCAATCATGAATAGATTTTAATTGCAACTACTAAAGTACTCCACAAATAGAGAAAAGGCAAAATTGAAGAGAAAAGAGAGTAAAAGGAGAGAGAGAGAGACAAAACTAAAATAAAGGGCATTTACAAATGTAACTTGGAAAAGGAAAAAATAAGAGTGAGCAATTTAGTAGCACCCTAGTGAATAGCGTTCCAAAAAGGGATACATTTTTCAAAATGGGAGGTAGCCAAGCAACATCACCGAGGGAGAATTATCAAAAAGGGTTCATTCTGTTAAACAATACACACAATTTGATATGATGCAAATAGCTAAGAAAATATTTATAATGCTTCACCGCTTAATACCAAGAAAAGAATTTGTTAATGGAACTCCAAAATTTTCCAGTAAAAGATACAGAATATCTTCTCATAGCTTTATATCCCTCTAATTTCTAGCTTAGTCAGAGCTCACTATACCAGCAGAAAATAAAAAGAACATCTCGAAATGCAGTGACGTACCAAAAATAGCATTCCCATTCCATCGATTCAGACAAAGGATCTACCTCTTCCTGCAACAGATATTTTTTTCTTATTCTATGGAACTTTCATGCAAGAGAAACTGGGAGTAGCTTTCCATCACCGCCACATTCTCATTTATAATGTTTAATATCCCCAGCGACAACAGTATGTATGACTCGATGATCGAACCTTGTCCCTCAAAGAAACCTCTGCGTCTTTACATCAGATACTGCAAATCATCATAAGCTCATTTGAAGTACTTGTGAAAATGCCCAGCCAATCATGTATACATCTATACTTATGGTATCTTGAAAACAGATTTCAGTCTGACCACCAGCTTCCACTCATCCATCGATAAATCATCCTATACATGTAAAGACATCAATAAGCAGGGTATAATAGATAATAAAATAATAAAATAATTTAACAATGGTTCTAAATTCTAATAGTATTATACTTATAACCCTTCTAATTATACTTAGTATTTTCTATTAGTATTATAATTACGCCTAGTATCATAATACTTAAAAAAGCATTAGCTTGTAAGGATTTTTTATTTGTATTGAATGGGTATTTATACGGGTTTGGGACAGATATAGGTAATGCCAAACAGGTTTGGAATGGGTATGGGTATTATACATGCAATTTTACACAAGTTTAGGACGAGTGTGGATATTTTATAGTTAAACGGGCTTGGGTATGGGTAGGACAATTTTTGCAAATGCCCAACCCATTACCATCCCTAGGAATGCATAAAAAAGATTGTAATAAAAGAGATTAACAAATGGCATCAGAGTTTATCTTCATAGGTTAATAAATGGCATCACCGTCAATTAATATAGGTTTAATGTAATGTATGAGTAAGGGTGTTATATTTAGTGCTATTTTCTAGATTCTAAAGTTAAATAAATATAACACTATTTTTGCCATAACTAAGTAAAAATTACCCGATAATTGGCTTTAAGAATATCAATTGATCTCCTTGAAATATGGCTCACGAGTAAATCATCAATCTCAAAATGCCTGCCAAACATTTTCTGCTGTTCCTCAGAATTGCTGCCAACAATCTGAGAAATAACAAGAAAACACCCAATAAGACTAATTTAGTGCTGCAGTTCATAAAAAATTAAACATGGGGATGATCAACAAAAGATGAAGAATTTGGCATCATACCTTAATAGCTACCTTCTGGCCCTTCTTAGCATAATCAACAGGCTTATGATTATTCTCAATGGAAGCAATTCGGCCAATGTCGATGAAATCTCGATTAGGAACACAAATTGGAGTCCCAATCTGTGAAAAAGAATTAAGTATTCAATTAGGATTAAACAAATTCGACTCATAAATACACTACCAAGTGGTTCGTGTGCCAAGGGTTTTATGCTGTGAAACCGAAGCTAATATTTACTGGCATCTGCACCATTTCAAAGAAAGTGTACATTTAAGTTGCAGGCCCTCAGGCAGAGAAAAAAAAAATCATGAATTCAATTTAAAAGGAAGAATAAGGCTTAATTCTTGTTGAAAAAAACAGAAATGAAAATTTTCAGAAAATTGCCCAACTTCAGAAATTCTTTTTAGTTCCATATCTCAATTCAAAAGAATTGAGCATGAGAGAACAGATGAGCTAGCCAAACACTAGGGAGAACAGATGAGCTAGCCAAACACTAGGGTAATGTGCAGACAGACAAAAAAAGGGGGTTGCTAGGCAAACTTCTGCTGAACTAGCCAAACACAAGGGTATCACAAAAAAGAGTGTTGGGGGGAGAGTTTCCCAGGCGAACTTCCTGTGAATTAAGAAGACTGCCTCGCTAGATGCTAAACCAAGCTAAATTCCCAACCATCAAACACACATCTGATATTGAAGGCCATTTCATGTCACAAACCAATGCCAGCATTAGATATGAACTGAGCACTGATGAGATAGTATACATAAAACCAAACATGGCCATGAAAATATACCTTGGCTATTCCCTCCTCAATCTCAACTCCCAAGACAATTGGATCTTTCTTGTTGAAAATACAATTCGGTAAAATCTTAAGAATGCATGGGAAGACCGCTTCATCTGCAGCTTCTTTCTTCTTTTCCTCCTTGAGGTTGTCAATATAAGCCTTGAATTGATCAAACAAGTGATAGATGATGTCAGCAATGAAGATCTTCACACCCATTTCATCTGCAAGTTCTCGAGCTTCTTGTGTCACTTTGACATCAAATGCCAAGATAGTGGCATACTCCTTCTTCTTCTCAATCATCACACTGGCCTTCATAACATCCTTTTTGTGTACTGGGCCTATGCCTATGCCACTAACAGGAATGCTCACTGCTGGAGACTTCAAAAACTCCAGCAACGCTTCCAGTGAGCCCAGGGTAGATGCCTGAACATAGACTCCCTCACCACTCTTGTCAATCCGGCTCATGACAGACCTCATGTCTTCCATTGCTGCTTCCTTGACATCTTCCAAATCATCATCAGGTCCTACCACATATAGACCTGTGCCGGCAATAGCATGCTCAAGACCCTGCACAAGAATAACAAAACGGAACCTTTTAATAGGGACAATTTATGAACAACATAAATGCATGGAGAATGTGCCATGGAGATGTGTACAGGCTACATATTAACCTAACATCAGCAGTTTATTAATATCTATCTATCTACTTATATATAATGCAGAGGGGGAACATTGGCGTTACCAAAAACAATCTTATTAAGTTTATGGATTGATAAAAATATCTTTAAGAATTTTAATTTTATTAGTTGAAAAAATAAAAATAATTTAATTTTGATTGGTTATGTTAACTTACTATTTTTACTATTTAAATCTATTATTGGATAAAATAAAAAATATTATATTATATGCTAAATAAGGTATATATTAAATATATTAAATATGGTAAAAATATAATATTTGTAAGGATTTTAATTTTATCAGTTGAAAAAAAATAAAGGTAATCTAATTTTGATTGGTTACATTAATTTACTATTTAAATCTAAATTCTACTATATTTATAAGAAATTATATTATGTGCTAAATAAGTTATATCTTAAATATGGTAAGAATATAAAAATTTAATTTTATAAAATAAGAAACTATATGATATATTAAATATGGTATACTCAATACAGTGAGAATATAAAAATTCAACTCGATAAAGTAAAAAATTATATTGTATAATATAGTAAAACTTTAAACATGGTAAGAATGTAAGAACTCAATTTGATTTGTTGTTGATATTTAATTTGAAAAAGTAATTTAAAAGAATTAACTTTGAAATAATGAAAATTTGGTGAAAATAATTATATGTTTATATTAGAAAAATTAATGTTCTATTATGTCAAATTAATATTTTAGCTTCCTAATATTAATTAGTAAACCATCTATTGCATAAAGAGTTAATTATTTTATATTAATTTAAGTCACTAAAAATTCTAAAAACCATTCAAATAAAAATATTAACAAAATAAAAAAGATAATAAATGATAAATGATACATCAATATCTACAACTTATCTGATTGTTATAGCAGACTATTTTAAAAAAATAGTAAAAAGAATTCAATTAAAAAAAAGTACTTATTATTTAAATTTATTATCGTACTTTCTATAGTAGAATATAAAACTTACAAAGACTATCTAAATTATGAATTATTTAGGAATTATAATATAATTCAATTAGAAATCTTATTAAATTACCACTTTATTATAGATTACCAATACATTATTTTGTTCTTATAGAAAAAGGGCACCACAAAAAATTTAATTTTTCTTTGCTATAGGATATATAGTATTATTATTTTATGTCAAAATATTTTTTTCCTTTGTTGTTTTATTTCTCAATCTTAGAGGTATTATTTTACTTGGATACTGTTATTTTTATTTTTGTACCTAATTTCAATCATAAGGTTTTGTTTTTGCATTCCATTTCAATAACTTTTATTAACAATATTCATTCATTTTGTTTACTTATATATTATAATCTTTATAGTAAAATATTAAATAAAAAGCACCTAATGTATTTATATTTTTTATCAATAGCTTATTATCATTTTTATTATATTAAAAAAAACAATCAACCATATCTAGAAATAGAAAACAAAAAACAAGTAACTATATCGAGTATTAACGTGCAACATATGTTCTTAAATACTAGTGCTTTATAAAAACCATATCACCTGTGCAGTAATCTTGATACCCTGTGCAGCCTTGATTTCCTTGTGGTGTATGTAAGCTCCCTGAAATCAGACAACCATTAAATTACCACTAATTCATTTGAAATGATAAACAGATATGCATCGAGATTTATGATACTATCCAACCAATGAGAAGTTACGTATACCAAAGCTCATATATATTCAAATGCCCATTTACCTAACATAACTCACAGGATTCCACAATACCAACTACCTTTAAGTCATGGTCTGTTTCTGAGGTAAAGGATCTCATCGGATAGTAATTATATTTGGATTATAAAAATATATTAATTAAAAATAATAGCGGAACAGTGGTAGATCATTGGCTCTCTTTCCATTAAGATCTGTGGTTCAGATCTAACCTAAGGCAAATTCAACTACTGAAATCAAATGTTAATACATAATCCTTTTAATCAAAGGATAATGATAAGTATTTGGTTCAGGTATCAATTAAGTGAGACCCAAAAGGCCCATCCCATTCCTTTTAAACTAAAAGGTTCAGAAGAATGGACCCAGAAAGTCATGTTACATATGTTCAAAATTAGGCTCCTTAACAAGGGTTTCCTTTCTCACATGATGTTCATCCACAAAGCTAACCACTTCCACGTGCAGTACTCTTGATTACTTCATCAATCAGCATCTTAGACTCTATTACTGTAGCATACTCTCTTTCAACAACAACCAGCCTTATTCTCAAGCTAGTTGGGGTCGCTAAATGGATGCATCTCTTCCATTCTGTTCTGTTTTGCATTAGTTATATAGAAAGACCTAGCATATCCGGACACTTCTTAATCGCTTCTTCCCATGTCATCTTAGCCTTCTCCCTTTCCTAGTCTTATCTCCTTTAAGATGCTCTATTTTCCTTATCAGGGTTTCCAGCAGTGTACAAGACACACAGCTCCGAAAATTAAGCATCTGAACATAGAGCATACTCTCTTTACCGATTCTAATCTAAGCCTCTGAACATCATAACAATTCCCTTTGCTGATCTTTCAATATAGATGTTAGCTACTAAAAGGAGGGTGGGCCTCAATTTTAAGGGTCAAGTTTTGCCTATTAAATCTATCATGGCAGAAAGTGGTCTTCCTGGCTTTTGCTTTAGTACTATTTAGTAGAAGTGCTGGGCAATTACTCATTAATTTTTTGTTTTCATTTGTCGATAAACTTATGAGTATAAGCCTGCAAGTGGTAATCCTTGCTCCTTTGTTTATTCAGCCAAAGAATATAAAACTGCAAAGTGCCAAACAAGTTTGAAAGATATTCACTAAATCAAATGCTCTCTAGGATAAGAATTTCTCAGCATTCAGTAGTTTATCATTAAGGAAACTCCCATACAACTGCAACTACTCTAAATTTCAGTCAGACGAGCTACAAGCATATATATTTTCATAAAAAAATATGTAAAATTTAGCAACTCTTGTGTGCAATGTAACATTTCTTCTAAATTTTCTAATAACAGGCCTATTAATGACTGTTCCATAAATATGACGAGAAATACAAGTAAATTAAAAGGTCTAAAACACAAAACCATACCTTAACTCGGATTTCCTTCATTGGATGGGGTGTCAGAAGAGCTCGAATTGTTGTAACAATGGGCCCCTAGAAGGTAAATTTATCAGCAGAATAGAAACAAGCATTTCATCATTATCAAAAACAAAAATGCATGGGGTTTGAGCTTGCCTGCAAGCCACAAACAACAATTTGATCTCCTTCATGAAGTACACCGTTGACCAGCACAACATCAATTGTTGTTCCATGACCTTCGATAACCTTAACCTCCAACACTGTACACTGGAATATGGTACCATAAAAAAAATTAGATAGTTACATTTCTCAATGCATTCATTGACTGAAATGTTGACTTAGAAAAGAAATAGACCTGCACTTCATTGCTAAATGTAAGCTTTTCAACCATGGTTTTCTGAGTCCATTGAACCAGTAACAATAATAAATCAGGAATTCCTTCTCCACTGCAACATAAGCAAAAGAAAGAAATTAGCGAATGAACACAAGGGAGAATGGAGGGGCAGGAGGAAAGGCACAAATATAAATGGATTCACACCTAATGGCTAATGAGGCTAAGAAAGGGAAGACTATGGGCCGACAACATACTTAATAGCACTTGCAGCAACAACAGAGTAGGATTTTTTTACTCAAGGTTAATAACATACCTAATAGCGCTTGTAGGGACAATACTAAAAGTTTCTCCCATTTCCCGGTTTTTGTAGTACAGTTCAGTATTTAACCCTTGCTCCTTGAACTGAGTTATAATCTGAAACCCAAAGAAAAAGAGGATATGAGATTTTTGTAGGGCCAACAAGCTGAAAAAATTCGTTAAGAGCTAAATGTACATCACCTGTGTAAGCCTCATGTTGAATTCATTTAAAACATCTTTTGACTGTTGCTTCAGTGCCTTCCCTATTGGTGCATTGCGACAAACTTTCCATCCATAGAGTCTGTCCACCTGAAAAAATTGAAGAGGTATTATATAATTCAAAATCAAAGGAGGTACAACAACAGTAATATAACAGTGGTGGTCGAAACCTCACCTTATTCAACGCAACAATGAATTCTGTATTCCTCATCCTCAGGAGATTGAGTGATTCAATTGTTTGTGGCTCCAAGCCATGCATAATGTCAACAACCAAGATTGCAATATCACACAAACCTGAACCCCTTGATCGTAGATTAGTAAATGACTCGTGTCCAGGTGTATCAATAACCAACAGACCAGGGACCTTCAATTTTGCATCAGCTTTCAACTCCCTGGTTCTCTCTCTAATGTTCTCAGCAGGAAAATATGTTGCACCAATTTGTTGTGTTATACCCCCTGCCTCACCTTCCTGAACATTAGTACCTCGGATACAATCCAAGAGCTTGGTTTTGCCAGTATCAACATGACCCATGATACAACATATAGGGGAACGAAGATTTTCAGCCTGTTCAGGAGCGGCATCAGGTGTTGGTGTTTTATTTTTTCCAGCAGCATCTTTTCTCCTACTTTTGTCAGTAATGTCAGACTCAGGTTGAGGTTTTTTATTTTCAACATCTAGAGGTTTTGCTTGTTGTGAGGGAATAGAGGTTTTGGCTGCAACTGCAGGCTTGGCAGCTGCAGGAGGAACTGAAAAATTAAAAAATAACAAAATTAACAAATTACAGAAGCAAAAGAAAAGAAAAAAGAGAACATGCAAACTTTCTACCCCAATGGCAAATCAGGCTATGAAACTAACCTGCAGTGCGAGAAGCAGTAGATTTTGTCTCTTTCTTTGGGACAGTTTCAGGCTCAGAATCAATCTCCTCATCATCAAAAGCACCCTTAACATTAAGATTAACATCATCCCAGCTTTTTGCATCCCATTCCTCCTCATCCTCATCTTCCTCCATTCCATTCTCCTCAGCTCCAATAACAGCTCCTGGTTTCTCTTCCACATTTATTGATTCCTCTTCTTCAACCCTTTCTGGTTCTGTGGATTCTACCTCAGGCTCAGCATCAGGTTGTTCTTGCTCTATTTCTTTAACTTCTATAATTTCCTCCATCTTAGCTGTAGCAGCACCGTTAGCATGATGATGAGCTGGCTTTGACTTCTTAGTCTGGTACTTGGGCCTTTTTGTTGGTGCACCTTCTTTGTCTATTGCAGGAATACTAATACCAGCATTAGCAAGTATTTGATTCCTCATAGCCTCTAACCGGCGTTGTTCTTCCTTCTGCTTTCCTGTTAAGAGTTTACCTTCTTGTTTCTTCTTCAAGAGTTTCTCCTTTTCCCTTTCCTTCTTCCTACGTCTAGCCTCTTCCGCTTGCCTCTCAAGCTCTTCTTGCCTGCGCCTTTCCTCCTCTTCCTTCCTCCTCTTCTCTTCTTCTTCCCTAGCCTTCCTCTCCTCCATTTCTTTTCGCCTAGCAATTGCCTCTTGCATCTCTCTAACATGCTTAGGCACTTTCTTCTCTGCAGCTTTACTTTTTGCATCACTCTTTTTTGATTCGTTTATTTCCATTGCTTCTTCGATTTTTTCTTCCTTAGCAGCAGCAGCTGCTGCTTTCTTCTCCTTCTCCTTCTCCTTCTTCTTTTTCTTTTTCTTTGCTGCAGCAGACTCTTCTTTTTCTTCTTCACCTTCCTTCTCATCCGCTGGTGCAACTGGTTCAGGCTTAATCTGAACGCTCTCCTCTTGTGGAGGAGGTGCAGAAGGCTTCTCCGTAGGTGGCCCTCCCCCAAGCTCTGCAAGAATCTTATCCAAATCCTCCTCTTCTTGAGCAGTCCTTCCACTCTTATTCTTCTTCTTCTTCTTATTCTTTGAAGTCTCTGCTGCCTCTTCACTCTTATTAACCTGAGTAACATTAGCTTCAAGAATACTAGATTGTTGTTCTTCAACTGTATCAGAAACCTCAGACACACTATTAGCATTCCCCTTCTTCTTAGATGACTTCTTTTTACCAGTAAACGAAATAGCTAATCCATCTTCCTCCTCAACATCTCCTGTATCATCGCTAATTTTAACAGGAACAGAGATAGAAGCCTCTTCATCATTATGCTCGTCAAGCAATGAGGCACTAAACTTATTACCACCCTTCTTGGTCGACTTGGATGACTTCTTCTTCTTGCCTGAGAAAGTAAAAGCATCAAGACTGTCATCCTCATCCTTCTTCTCCTCCTCATGGTCATCTAAACCGTCAAGAGCCGCAGCTGCTGTAAACACACTCCCACCACTCTTTTTGCCACCCTTTGACGGCTTCTTTTTACCAGTAAACTCAATAACTAGCTTATCCTCATCATCATTACCATTGCTAGTTTTATCATTCCCTTCGTCTTCATTATCTTCATCTTCATCATCATCATCAAGCGCATCAAAAGCGGCGGCACTAAACAAACTACCACCACTCTTATTAGTACCCTTCTTTGATGCTTTTTTCTTCCCCGTAAAACTCACAACCGGTTCATCCTCAGCCTCACTATCGCCTTTTAACTCATCCTTCTCTTCATCATTATCTTCATCTCCAAGTAACCCAAACGCTGATGCAGAAAAGACACTATTAGCTCCACTCTTCTTTCCTTTTGACTTCTTCTTCCCAGCAAAGACAACCTCTGGTGCCTCTTCATCCTCTTCTACGTCCACCTTATCATCGTCATCGTCATCATCTTTATTCTGAGGAACTTTTTGATTCCCTTTTTTGCCCTTCTTCTTCCCAGTAACAATAACCTGCTCTTCCTGAACTTCAGCCTCCCCTGACAACTCTGTACCAATTGAGTACTCATCATCATCGATCACTAGCTGCTTCTTCTTCGATTTACCGCCGCCCTGAGACACGGGGGGTGGGTTATCGTCCTCACGCGCAGTCGGCTTCTTTCGACCCATAGAGAATTTTCGGGTTTAATTCGACGAATTAACAAAAATTAAAATCTCCTACAGAACCTAATCACAAAATCAATAATCAAAATCAGAAAACATAAAGATAGAATCAAACAGATTTACACACATAATTAGATCTATCTTAATATAATTACGCCATAAAATTTCTGAAGAAACCTGAAAATGAATCAGATAATCATCAAGAAATGCTCAAATTTAAAGAAAAGAATACAACGAGTAACAGGAAGAAAAGAAAAATGACGGGAGCTCACTTTCGATAAGACGATGGCAATATCAGATTAAAATGGAATTCGAGAAAAAGAAACGGGAAGATGCTCTGTGATAAAGACGGAGGGAGGGGTATTTCTCTTTTCTAGATATAAAAGAATGGGAAGGTGACACTGTAAGAGCTTCAATCAGTGATGGGAGAGACAAGAAGAGATGCGTGTGGCAACAGGTTACTTTGGTCTAGGGTTGTTTGTGGGCTGGTTTTGGGCCTATATTTTTAGGAAACGCCACCTTAGGCCCAAAACTCACCACCATTTGGCGACCGACAATATAATAATATAACATTTGATTATTTAGACCAAGCAAAATATCTTTAACGCTTTTTTTTGGTTTTTTTTGGAGGGTAAAAAATACTTTGCTAGCAAGATAAACTATCTTTTAGAATAAGAGCTTCCATACTTAGAGAATAACCCAGCCAACCGAGACATTATTGTCGTTTGCAATTAAATGACGGCAACATGCAAGAATAAGATGCCACTCCAAGGTACCTAGAGAAGGATAAAGTAACTCGTTGCAGTATTCCTGGGCATCCATCTCAACAATAACGTTAGACATGCCCTTCCCTTGTGCAGTAATCTTGGATAAAAACTTAGAGGCCATACAGTAATTGCCCAATTACTAAATATAGTAACATATACCTCTCAATACTAGGAAAAATAATGATTTTTACATTTTCAACTATTAAGTAAGTGTTTATCTAACTTTACAAACTGAAGCAATAGTATAATAATTTTGCATGAAGAAATGTTTAAGAGATGTAATTTTATATGTTTAAAATATTCAATGAGTCATTGATGGTTTTGATGATTAATCTGTTGCAGATCTTTGATCCGCAACATATATCATTGATGATATATGGAAGGTAGGCACGTCTGGTACGGGCCTTTGATCCGTGGCCTTTTTCTTCCATCATACTCGGACTCAATTCTATTAATTCCATTGGGTTTTCATGATGTTATTGACTAGTATATGTGGCAATAAATGAAGAATGAGATTTAGTTTATGAAATCCAGATATTAGGCTATTTTGGCAAATTTGAATGTTGTTGAGCCATTTTCTCATCTCCTTTTATGGAAAAAGCAATGGTAGCTGAAGATTTTCATAAAAATAACCCATTCATATGGAAAGTGTGTCGTGAAGTATTTCCAACTAAGAGTATTTTGCTTCGTTGTGGTGTGCCATTGTTCGATTCTTGCCCGACATGTTTAGATTCTGGAATCGGTATTGCATGCTTTTATTTCCTGCCCTAGCGCACATATGCACCAGCTCTTTCATGGTTTTTCTTTCCTGCCGCGTGATTGGAAAGATGTCCAAGTCGTTGTCCGTCTACAACCAACTCCTATTGTTATTGCAATTGAATAAGAAAGAATTTGTATTGTAGTTATGTGTGATTTACATTAACAACACCCTGCATATAGGTGTACAAGTTACATAGAAAAAGGAAAAAGAGATCATAGAGGGATATAATAAAATTAGAATTAAATACACAATTAGATGCACTAGGATCAGATTCATATACACTAGGATCAATTAGAATTTTATTCTAACACCTCCCTCAAACTCAGGGTGAATGATTGGAAACCAATCTGAATTTCAAAACTAGACGTTAGAAGCGCGAAACATGAAAGGATTTTGAAGATGTTCACAAACTAATCAAAAGTTGAGACAGAAATCAACTGAAGGATGCCACGAGTTAAATGAGTGGAAATAACATGATAGCAAATCTCAAATATGTTTTGTCCGCTCACGAAGTGCATTATGATGTGTGACTTGAATAGCATTTTGACTACCACAGTGAATAGGAGCAGGTATTGTAAAAGAAACACCCATGTCCTCAAGTAACCAACGGAACAAAATCAACTCAGTAATAGTATTAGCAAGAGCATATTCAGATATACAAGGATCAATTGGGATTTTATTATAACAGTTGCTACTATTGTTGCTCAATAGCAAACACCTATTTCTGGCCATTTGAAGTGTAACCTTGATGCAACAACTCATCAACATGTTCACAATACCAGTTTTGGTTCTTTTCTTAGGGACCATAATGGTCATTTCATTGCTGGTTTATCGGGTTATATGTCGGGCCTTCTAAGGTGGCAGAAGTTTTTGTCCTTTAGAGGGGCTATCCTATGGATTAAAGATCACACAACTGGACCTATGTAGAGCTAGAGACATATTTGTAGGAGGTGTAAACGAATACAACTAATCTTTCTTTATTCAGTTTGTTGGCACAAGACTCGAAGTTTCTCTTTAGCCAAATTCATAATATTTTTTTGGCATGGATCAAAAGACAAGCTCACAAATCCGCTCACAAAGTTATATATTTGATAAAATATAAGGGAAAAAATAGTAGTAATTTTTTTTCATAAATTATTTTATTTATACAAAACCCATTTTGGCCCAAGAGATTCAGGCCCAGTCTACTAGTCTAGCACATACCGAGGAGGAGTATCGAAGCATTTTTACTAGTTGTAAGTTGCAAATGCAAATGCCAAGCAGACAGTAGCAGCAACGTTGCATTAGGAAGCCGAAGCTTTTTGTTTCTTTAAACAAGGTTTTCTTCATTTCTTCTTATGCGTTACCGTTACTTTCCTCTTTTGATATTTCTTTGCCATTTCCATCTCCAAATCATTCCTCCAATTTTTTTTCCTTGGTTATTTGTTCTTTAGATTTATAATCGCAATCTCAAAACCTCTGGGTCTTCATTTTTCTTTTTAAATTTCCTCTCGTGAGCAGGAACAAGCTGTTAATTTTTTCTTTCGGAAAGAATGGCAGCTGAAATTTTTTTTGAAAAATTGCATTTTCCGGTGTAATTCTTGAGATTAGAAAATCGTTGATTTTTCTGAATATGAAATTAATTAGGTTAGCAACAGGAATTCTTATTTAGTGTTTCGTGATTGATTGAATTTGTTGCGATTGTTGGATTTTGTTATAGCTCAATTAGAGTCTTATTTAGTAAACACAGAGTCAAATTTATAGTTTTTGAGTTTCTATGATTGGTTACATGATGAATTATAATGTCCTCTCTGCAGGGAATACTCTGTTGAGGATTCTACATTGTCCATAGTTTTGCTAGTTGGTAATGATGAAATAAATGAGTATGCTTTATTCTAGCTTAAAAGGACATTGTTCATCCATAATCAGCTTCTACAGAGCCAGAAGTGTAGAATAGATGATAGGATTTTAGTTTGATAGGTTCAATAGACGAATATTTAGGTGTTTGAAACAAGAAATGGAAGGAAACTTATCACAAGGAAGTATGATTCCTGGGGTTGCCCCATTTGGAGGCCTCGACTTGCAAGGATCAATGAGAGTTCATCATCAAGCACAGCACCAGCATGCCTTACACCATCAACAGCATCCTCTTCATCGGCAAGGGTCCTCTGCACATAGCTCAATTCAGGAGGGTTTTCCACTTACAATGGGAACTTTGCACAACTCTGATCAAAACATTTCCGTGTCTGATTACAATAAGGGAGATAAGGGAAAAAATTCTGCAAGCGACGAGGATGAGCCAAGCTATACTGAAGATGGTGCTGATGGTCACAATGATGCAAGTAGAGGGAAAAAGGGGTCACCATGGCAGCGTGTTAAATGGACTGATAAAATGGTGAGGCTTTTGATAACTGCCGTATCTTACATTGGAGAGGATGTGACTTCGGATTGTGGTGGTGGCATGAGAAGGAAATTTGCTGTTTTACAGAAAAAAGGCAAGTGGAAATCAGTTTCAAAAGTCATGGCTGAAAGGGGTCACCATGTTTCACCCCAGCAGTGTGAGGATAAGTTCAATGACCTTAACAAAAGGTATAAAAAGCTCAACGACATGCTTGGAAGGGGCACTTCTTGCCAGGTTGTGGAGAACCCAGCACTTTTGGAATATATAGATTTATCCGAAAAAGAGAAAGAGGATGTTAGGAAAATATTGAGCTCAAAGCATCTTTTCTATGAAGAGATGTGTTCATACCATAATGCAAACAGATTGCATCTGCCTCATGATCCAGCATTACAGCGTTCCTTACAGTTGGCTCTAAGAAGTAAAGATGATCATGATAGTGATGATTTAAGAAGGCACCAACATGATGATCTTGATGAAGATGATCAAGAAGCAGAAACTGATGATCATGATGAATTTGAGGAGAATCACCCTTCACGGGGGGATAGTAAGGGATTTTATGGGGCCTTGGGGGGTTCCATGAAAAGGCTGAGACCAGGCCTGGGCCATGAAGATGCTTGTTTTGGGAATTCATCGCAGGACGGTAATAAAGGTTCATATTCTCATGTGCAGATTCCCCAAGTTGATATGAATCAAATCTCACCTGAAAGTTCAAGAGCAGCTTGGTTACAGAAGCAATGGATGGAATCTCGCTCACTTCAGTTAGAAGAGCAAAAGGTACAAATTCAACTTGAGATGTTAGAGCTAGAAAAACAGCGATTCAAGTGGAAAAGATTTAGCAGGAAAAGAGATCACGAATTAGAAAAGTTGAGGATGGAAAATGAGAGGATGAAGCTAGAGAATGAACGAATGGCATTGGAGTTGAAGCGCAAAGAAATGGGTCTTGATTTTAATTAATTTTCTGGTCCTGCTTGATATTGTTCATCACAACAGCTAGAGTTGCATGTAGCTCTGCTTTCTGTTTTGGTAAGCTGCTGTTGCCTATAACTGCAATTCACTCAGGAGAACTTTTGTTGGAAATGCTATTCTACCTGCATATAGTCTGTAAACTTGGCATATTGCCAATATCTTTAGCTAATTACATTGTTTCTGCTTTAGTGAAATGGTATTGCCTATGGTTGAAGATATTGCGACAAGAATCTTTTTTCATTTATCATGTATTTGTCCTTTTTTTTCCTTCTTTCCTCTTTTTTATACTGTGTATTTGAATTTATAATTGAAATATTTAGTAGCAACTTGAAAGTTTAACTACATATCGTTGCTTTAATTGTTTGAATTGCTGTGCTTTTTGATGGTGTATTATGAATTTTGAAGCGCATTTTTTAAACCAAATCACCATTCATACTTATGAGGCAACATTTAATGGATACATGAACAGTAAAACCTAGGAGTTTTATCTGCTAACTCTAGGTCATAGATTATGCAGCATTGACTTCCTAAACTAATTTATAATTATTTTTATTTTTCATGTTGTTTGATTTTGTTCCCTTTTGTCTTGAAAGCCCTTAACAGTTTGTAGGTGTATGATGGGTTTTCGGGGACAACCTATTTCCTTCCTCCTCTCTTCTTCTGCTTGGTGTGGATCTTCATAGTTTGGGCGCTCCCGGTTGAGAGTTTAGCAAGTGGACTTTGGATTAGCAATTTATTATCCTATAGGAAAATAATTTCGTCCTCCAAAAGATAAAATTTTCAGCAATCAGATGAAACATAAAAGGCATCTATACTGTAATTATGCAATTGCTTGGAATTTTTGGCGTTAGTAAACAGAAATTGATTGATAGAAATATAGCTCTTATGGAGATTTCTGACTTCTTGAAACTGCTTATTGAGGAATGATGCTGTCGTGTTGTGGTATTCACTAAAGCATCATTCTCATTTAGGCCTTGCTATTGTTTGTGTGGAGTTCTTGAAGGAAACAAACACTTGATTCACTGGATTATAGCTTTTAGTAGGCATATAAAAAACTATTGTCCATATATTTTGGCAATTTCATTTAAAGTTAAGTGATGATGTTAAAGATGCAGGTTGCTTGGGTATTTCCTGATTTTAATGTTCATAGATAACATTTATAAATGTACATGTGTTCATTTATGTAAACATAAGAATACGGTGTCCTGATGCTAACAGTTTGTTAAATTTAACCTTCTGCGATATGCACCATGAGGACTTCAGGAGTCTATTAGAATGCCAAAACTCTGATGCCTTTGTGTGCGTGCCTGTGCTTGTGCATGTTTGTGGAAAGTCATAAATCTAGGAAGGACTTGTTTTGGCATTGTCTGTATCCTTGCTAGTTTATGCCCCCAATTAGTGAAATCATACACACAAAGGAAAAATACATTTGCATGTCTCTTATTCTTTCTTGAAAAGTAAAATTAATAGAAAGATAATTATGTGTATGTTTTGGAATTGCTAGTTGATGTGGGGAATAGTAGTTGAGTTTTCTCTGGGTTGTGTTAGACCTGCATAGTGTAGATATTGAGTCTAGTCCATGGATATTGCCTTTGTGAAATGCAACACAGTTCTAGCTGAGGGCTGGTATCCCATAGAGCTGGCTCAGTTTCTTCTCAGGATGTGTAGAAATTCTATTCAGAATTCCCCCAAAAACGATTTCCAGTCAACAAAAATGGTTGTTGAAAAACACTAGCAGCTGACATTGGGATTGAGAAATTGACATTAAGTTGAAAGTCGAATGAAGAGGCTTTCCCCTTGTGTACCAGTAACACGACTGAGGCATACTGTCGTTGTATTGTAGGTTTGGATTGTTTTGATCATGTTGCTTTCTTTAAAAGAAAGTTAAGCATGAGATTATGGAAGAGAAACCGTAATAATAGGCAGCGGGGCAGTATGGCTGGAGATTGAAATAATGCTATATATTTTCCTTGTTGTTTATTTGGATTTATATTTTGACATAAAAATAAACAAAATTTTAACCAAACTTTTCTTTCTGACACTTTGCTTTGAGGGCATTGCAATCGATGGAAATAACATGATCTTGTCATTTATCATCTATTTCTAGGAACATCTTTTGCAGCTACTCCTTTGCTGGAAATAGATTCATTCCTTCATGACCCTTTTATTGTTCTTTCTCACCTTATAATCATTATGTAACAGGTTTTCATTTTATCTTCACAAAATTGAAACAATCAAAGGTCATCTATATCTCGCTTGTTTCATTGTCAATTTTTGGATAGTATACACTGTTACTGTTAACTTTTTTTTCTTCAGTTGAAGGTACTGTTTGCTTCTTAAGGGGTGAAGGCACATTTTATTTGGGTGTGTACCATTTATTTTCATCAGATGCAGAAACAGCAGTTCTTGTAAGCGAGGAGCTGTCTGATTTATTCATTGTCGTTTATGGCCTTTTATTTTCTGAGAGTTTTTTTTTTTTTTTTTTTTTGAGAAGCTCGTTTGCTGATATACTGTGAAATTAATGGTAATAAGAAAATTAAATTGTGTTATGTTGTTTGTTTGGAGGTACAAAATGGGCTCTAAATAGAAGATTCTGCGTTTGCTTAAGGCTAGCTGGTTTTTATATCACACGATTATTGTGATATGAACACCATGAAAGCTACACCTACGCTACAAAAACAAGAATTTGTCAATACCCGTTACACCATCATTTTTATATACATGACAAAGATATACACCTTATAAATCGTTTAGCATGAGTAATTAAAGCATTAAGCAATTTTAATTTGGATAAAGTACTATTTACCTTGTAGATTGTCCGACTACTACCTCATTTCCGTCCAATTAAAAAGTCCCTTCATTCGTAAATGACTTCTTTTTACCATTAGTCTTTTGAAAAAAAAAAAAGAATTCAAAGGAGAGAGAATAAAAAAAATAAACCCATTATATCTTATTCCAAGCTAATCTAGAATTTATAAATTTTTTTATTTGTTCGTATTTCAGTGCTTGTGAATTGAAAGAATTTTGTAACGCTTGCTCTAGCTCGTTGAAAGAGAGGGTGCTTTTGAGTGCTTTCTGATCCTGTGATTGAGGACCAAAGATTTGAGTTACACTAATAAGAATAACCACCTTGCTTTTGAGGCCAGATGGGAGAGGTAATATTAGTGTTTATCTTTCTCTGCTTAAGCATGTATCTTATCTTGATTATAAAATCAAATTTTGGAGTTACTTCAAAAAAACTTTGGTAGAGATTCTCTACGAGTGAAATACAATCTGTGCTCTTTTTTTAGTGTTTTCTTAATGCTAGAAATATCTCCTGAGAAGAAAGATCCCGGTTGAATTTCCAAATGAATTCTACAAAGAAACATCCGGTTGAAAATACAGATTTGAATTCTATGAATTGAATTCTATATAATTGAGTATATCTAACTCAAATTCTACTAAAATTGATGGAATTTGTAAATGAATTTCACAAAATTGACCATTGAAATATTTATTAATAAAATTATCTTCCACCGTAAAACTCAACTATTTTTACTTTTTTTTTCCTTTTTATTTATTTTCTTTGGAAAATTCCAAATTATTTTCAATCCATTAATTACTTTAGTTTATATTTTTGTGTTTTTTTTCCTTTTTATTTTTATTTTTTTGGAAACTTCCGAACCAGTGATGACGTTTTTTTTTTTTTTTAAATCTAGTAATAATGTTAGTTATTATTACTATGAAAATATAAAAATTGAGCATCAACAATTGTTTTCAAATGTAATTAAAAACAATAGTTACATTTTTAATTTCTGCATCAATTACTTAAATCAATTTTTAGATTAATTAACAATAATTATTATGATGAATATTACTGTTTATATAATTAATTAATTAGCGTGAAATATTAATGTATTTTATTTATATTTTAATAAAAAAATGACAAGTTATCATATTATAGATGATAAATATAATTGGTGTTTGTTATTTATTTTTATTAAATTATTATGTCAAGGGTGTTATAAAAAATAAAGACAAATGAATTTTATTTAAGAATTTATTCCATACATAATTTTGTGAAATTCAATTGAATTCCTTATTTTAAATTGTAATATACAAAACATGACAAATTCATTTGCAAATAAATTCTACTTGAAATTCATTTACAAATGAATTCTACAAGCATGATTCATTTGTTCCAAACAGGCCGAAAGATTTTCTTGACTCAGCCGAACTTATCCAAATCATTTTGCCAAATTAATTTTGATCATTAACTGAACCGAATTAAACAAAATGAAAACTTAATTATCTAATTAAATTTAACCGAAATTTATAATTAATCGACTTAACCAAAATAAAAATTAGTTGAAACTATTAATCACTACTTAATCAAAATAAAAAGTGAAGTATTTTTAATTTTTAATTGTATTATTTGTTTAATTTGGTTAAATTAAATTTTCTTTAACTGAATAAGTACTTACTGAACCGAATTGACCGAATTGAAATGCTGACCCATAATCATAGTAGGATGAATGAATGCAACTTTTTATTTGTTTCTAGAAAACCTCTTCTCTCATCCTCGTTGTTGAAGAAACACCAATAAAGAAAACGACATTGTTAATTAAAACTAATCTAACCAGTAAAGGAAACCTATTTTTGTATGTTACCAAAACATATATAGGTTATTTATTTCTATTGATTCATATATTATGTATTTTGAACAATTGTAAAAACCTTATTTAAAATGCAAAACATAAAGTATTTTTTTTTCATATATATATATATATATATATATAGGAGCTATTTTAGTCTTTGTACTTTGGAAGAAAAAATCTCTTTTCTTTATATACAATGAAAAGAATTAATCTCTCAAATTATAGAAGGTAAAAACTTTTTATCGTCAGCGGTTCAATTTATATTCTTATTCTTACGACGATTATATTATAGACGGTGAAAAGGCCCGTTTTTAGACGAAAGTGAACTTTTAGTTGGACGGATCCAAGAATTGTATAATTGGTTATCCAAAACAAAGGGACGATTTTAGTTGATTTGATAAAATCTTAAGGATTAAATAATACTTCAATCCTTTTAATTTTACAGAATTAATATCTAAAGCCCATTTGTAGCCCAAAACTTCAGGCCTATCAAGGCCTAGTTTACAGTCATCTCAGGTCGGTGGTTCTGGTCAATCAAAATTGTAAATAGCAATAGCAATAGCTACTTCATTTATCATTGTAGCCGCCGATCCTGCTTTGCTTGTACAGGTACCATGTCGTCTGTTCTTCTTCTTCTTACTTTCTTCTTTCAATGAAAATTTTCACAATTTGTGCTCAATTTAGGGTTTGTTGCATCTCCAAATTTATAAATCTCCAAACTTTTTGGCGTTTTCATATTGCATCTTGTTTTGGTAAATGATAATAGTACTCGAAAGTAAAAATCATGTATTAGTAGGTGCATTTTAATTTTTGATATGATGAAATAAAAGAAAATAATTTTGATTTTCAATTGAATTTCGTTTTTTTTAAGAATTATTTATTAGTGTTTTGGAATGTCATTTTTTTTTTTTTTTTTTTCTGTTTTTTGTGGTTGAGAGTTCCTTTGATCTGTTAATATGTTACTTTTGTTAGTTGGGATATAGAGGAAAATAGTTTTTTGTTTTGATTTACGATGATAAAGAAAGCATCTCGATTGCCTGCGTAAGGGAGATTTATTAGCATCTGCGCTTGAAATAATTCTTTAAATATGCAGGAAGTACTCCTTTTGACGTCGAGTGAATTATTGTGCTATTCTTTTCGATTCAATGTGAGTATTCATGTCCACTAAATATGAAAGTGCTTACTTTTACACTTTTCGTACTTCTAAGTGCATATGAAATTGTTTTAATTGTTAAAAATTATTGATTGTTTATGGTTCTTATTTTGTGGAACTATAGCGATCCCATTTGTTGTTGCTTCTTGATGTACCAATATGGGCATAATATTTTGCTTGAACTTTGCAACAAGTGAATGTCTGTGAATTGACCTGCATAAGTACTAAATTGTGGACGTTCTTATTGCTTATCTGTCTCACTTGATTTCAGCTAGAACAAGTATTATGTGCTAGAAATGGAGTCATAGAAGTTTTAGCCAATTCGAATTTTTTTAAGTTCAGTGGTTGGCATGTTTTCTGTGCATACATTTAGTTTAGCAGACATTTGCTGGTATTGAATCGACCTTTTAGGAGCCTACCTCCTACAAAGTTTCAATCTAGATAGTTGAGCTTCAATGTGCTTCTAGCTTGTCATGTGGATTAATTGTCCTATATTAGACTATCTAATTGAAGTGAAAGAAATGGGTTTTGATGTTTAAATAAAGTTAATTGGTTAAGTGTTGATGAACTAGAAACTAAATGTTTATACCTTTGGGGCTGTTTAGATAATTACACAGATTATTGTGGTGAAATAATAATAGATAACACCATTGCAATTGGTGTTGCTGCTTATAGAACCGATCATTTTATTTTTCATGAAAACAATTTCATTTTGCTCATAATGTTAATATTTCTGATTAGATCATCCTTGGAATTGAAAGCTTTTTCCTTTGACTGGTGTATGGATTCGATCATCCAGATGCAATAGAGAATCAGATTTGGGTCCATATGCACTTAATGGATTTTCATTTTTCACTATTAATGCATGTTAGTTTATGCTAGGGTCAACAAGTGCAAAAATATATCCATTTAAACATGTGCCTAAACAAAATGGATGCTATAAAGCGGATAATTTTGCAGTGTTATGTCATTTTGTCTCATGCTGCACTAAATAGGACCAGGAAATAAATTTCTTTGGATGGATTTCCCTATTTCAGTAAAGGGAAAAAGTATAGTGTTTTTGCTGCATTCCCTTCTCGGAGTATGAGAACATCCTATAGAAGGAAAATGAGCATGCATTTTTACTTTTTTTCAAAATTTTCTCTGTTTGAGAGTTATGATGTCTTAGAAATATGTTAGCACTTCTTTTTTTTTTTTTTTTTTGTATCCAGAAGTTTTAGAATTTGATTGGAGCTCGTAGTGTTAGTTACAGGGGTATTGTTTCTGTTCCATGTATCCATATTAGTAATCTGGAACTACATAATGCTAGTCTAGTACACATAAAAGATTTTCCATGCACTATCCTGTTTCTCACCTACGGCACTCTCCCCTTTAATTTACTTTAGGGCGGACGAGGAACTTGTTGATCCAAAGAAGTATCTTGAGGAATCTTGCAAACCTAAATGTGTGAAGCCCCTACTTGAGTATGAGGTGATGTATTTTTACATAGAAACATTTCCATACTATACATATGCCAATATTTTTTCTCTTCTTTCTTTCTTTCTTTCTTTTTACTCCATGTATAGAATAACTTTTATGAATATGATGCTGTTTGGATAAATGCTTTCTTGCCAATGAGATGGTAAACCACTCCTTCCAAAACTATCTAATCTGATGCTTGTACTACCTACACGCCTAAAGCAATAACAACCATGCATGAGTTAATTACAGGTAATATGTATATTGTTTTATTTTATATTCCCAGTTAAAGGTGCGCCTGACTTAAGGCTCAAGCGCCTCATTACACCTTTTTCTTTTCCCTAAACAAGTCACCTAGGATTTTCTTTTAATATAAAGCTGTCCAGCTAGCATCTGGTTACATAAAATAAATAAATAGAATGCAACATAAAAACCAGTAACTTGCTTTGCGATTCAGCCTCCAGTCTTCCATCTAATGCTCACCTTCTACAATCTAGCCTCTAATTAGCAGCCATTCAGATATATATCTCTCTCAATTTCTTTTCCTATATTTGCTTTCTATTTTCTTTCTATTCTCTTCCCCAACTAGTTTGTAATTAAGGCTTAGCTGCTGCTACTGTTCTTGATTCTACTCCTTGATATCTTTACTCCAATATCTTAAAATATAAGTTGTGACGTTGCTGATTTTTTCTGATTTATGTGTGTTGTTTTCCATGTTTAGCTGATTTTTTCCCTTTTTTTCCCCTTGATATCTTAAAGAATAATTTTCAGGTTTATGTGTTCTAATTTCTTTGTTATTTTTGCGCCTCACCTCGCTCAGGCATGCACCTTCGCTTAGAGGCTATCCCATCTAACTCCTTATTTGTCTGATTGAAAGTTTATGATTGAAAGTAGAACTGTATTCATGCCCTAGTAAACTGCAGATTTGGATATGCAACTTATCAATTATAAAGTTCCAAGCCAGATTCCTGAAATAACTTATGAGAATTGGTATTTATGGATGTTGAAGTATGAAGCTAATAAATATTTCAATATAACGAGCAATATTGCGATATTTTGGTCTGTCTTACTTTATATTCCTATATTTTGAAATATAAGTTTGCTCATTTTGTTTTAAGCATACATGTCAAGATAGAAAGGAAGAAGTAAAAATTATTGGTTAGCCAGTATAAATTCACTCATATGCTTGCATTTTGGCAATTAGCTTAGTCCTTAAAGCGCTGACGAAGTCAAAGGCCTTTGGACGTAATTGTGTCTTCTCCAGTAAGAACGGAGTGAAGGATTTTCATGTTTATTTTGTTTTTTTTTTTAATTTTATAATTGTTCAACCTTGATACTTTGCTGTGGATTTAAATGATACTTGTGGACTTGTTCAATCCATTCTGAGAGAGAAAGAGAGGGAGACAAGTGAGCATTTTCAATCCATTGCTGCTCGATTAACGATTTCATTTGTTGCTTTGATTTGTTGATAGAATTTATATTTCAATGATTGGGAAATTTTTCTGGTCCAGCATAAGATTTTGGATTTTGAGTCACTGAATGTGTTATTCCACTCATTACAGGCATGTGTTAAGAGGATTAGAGGTGATGAAAGTGGGCACAAGCACTGCACAGGACAATACTTCGACTATTGGTCTTGTGTTGATAAATGTGTAAGTATTCATTTCATGGTCGGTCGGTAATGTATAATCTACATTGTTGATAACTCTCAGGAACTGAATCTTGCATTTCTGAATGCAGGTTGCACCGAAGTTATTTTCAAAACTGAAGTGATCAGGAAACCGTTTGGGACGGCTCTTTCATAATGTTTCTACCCTTTTGCATCGTCAGATGAATTTTGTCAAATGTTTAGTTTGGTTGCTTGAAGCAGCCCCTTCTTATTGATTGTGAAACTTATTTTACTTAGGAATAAAGGAACATATCTTGAATTGGTGACGAATTGATACTGTTGCTATTTATGATTTAAAGAAAAAAAAAAAAAATAGACAACATCAAGAAATGGATGGCATATGATTGTTGTTAATGATGTTCCTTTTATTCTCTCCCATTACAGAGTTAGATCAATCCTTTACATTACAATGTTCTGATTAGTGATGGAAACAGCCTCTCTATAAATCTCTACAGAGCTCATTAGTGTGAATGCTTTATGCATTGGATCACATTGATGTTCATTTGTAAGGTTATATATTTGCTAATTCTTTTTTTTTTAACAATATTGTGTAAAGGGATTTTATTTCATTACTAATGTTGTTTTGTAATTAGGGTTCCATCTCTATGAGACTAGGATTCAAATAAGTGTGCAAATAACAGCTAAATAAACTTTAAGAAAACAATTAAAATTCTTAAAATCATAATAAAATACTTTTTAATAGAATGAAATTATTTTTTTATCTCACTTTAAATACTACTAGTGTTAAAACTCGCGCGATGCGCGAAACAACATTAAACGATAAATAATTTTTTATAACATCATTCAAAAATAGTAAAATTATATAATAAAATGATTAATTGCATGTCATTGAGATATATTGAAAAGTTGCATACACACTTTTAATGTATTTTTTAATAGTGATAATAATTTTGAGAATTTAACTAATTATATTGAAATGAGAAATTAAATATTTTTTATTTTATATTTATTAATAATTTTTGAGAAGTTTACACTAATTATAATATTGAAATGAGAAATTAAATATTTTTTATTTTATATTTATGATTTATTATAAATAATTATTTATTTACTTGAAATATTAATGTATTACTGCGCGGAACAATATTAAAGGATAAATTAATTTTTTATAACATCATTCAAAAAAAATTATCGTATCCTGTATGTTCACATATCTCGTGTACCATGTACATGCAACATAATTCTTAGTATATGAGACTACTCCATACACTAAACTAATCAACGGAGGTTTCTTTTTATTACCGATAAAAAAGAAGTATTTTTTTTAAATTAGTTTTTGTGTCATTGAAATAAAAAATAAAGTATTTTTTATTTTGTGGTTATAATTTATTATAAATGATTGTTTATTTATTTGAAATATTAATGCATTACTTATTTAGTATAATGTGTACTAAGTATATGTATGTTCTACATTTTTTTAAAATTATTGTGTCCCGTATATTTCCGTATCTCGTGTCCTGTGTCCGTGCAGCTTAACTCTTGGTATATGAAACTACTCCATACATCAAGCTAATCAACAAAGATTTGAACTAAGTGTATGTATGTTCTAAATTTTTTAAAAATTATTGTGTATCATATATTTTCGTATCTCGTGTCCCGTGTCCGTCCAATCTAACTCTTGGTATATGAGACTACTCCATACAATAAGCCAATCAACAAAGATTTTTTCTTATTACGAATAAAAAATGAAGTGTTTTTTTTTTAATTTATTTTTGTGTCATTGAAATAAGAAATCAAGTATATTTTATCTTCATGATTTATTATTATAAATGAATATTTATTTATTTGAAATATTAATATAGTTTAATATATTACTTATTTAGTGTAGTATGTTTTAAGAGCGTAGATATCCTACTTTTTTTAAAAATTATCGTATCTCTTATATTTCCGTATCTCGTGCTCCATGTCCGTGCAACCTAACTCCTGGTACATGAGACAACTTCATACATCAAGCTAATTAAACAAGATTTTTTTTATTACCAATAAAAAATGAATTTTTTTTAATTTATTTTTTATCGTTGAATTAAGAAATTAAGTATTTTTTGTTTTAGGTTTATGATTTATTATAAATGATTGTTTATTTATTTGAAATATTAATATTACTTATTTAGCATATTGTGTTTAGAGCGTGTAGATATCATATCTTTTTCAAAAATTGTAGTATCTCATATGTTTCTGTATCTCATATCCCGTATCCGTACAACCTAATTCTTGGATTATGAGACTGCTCAATACATAAGCTAATCAACCAATGTTTTTTTTTTTTTAAATTTATTTCTGAATCTTTGAAATAAGAAATTAATTTTTTTAATTTTATGTTTATAGTTTATTATAATTGATTGTTTATTTATTTGAAATATTAATGTATTAATTATTTATTTAGTGCAATGTATCTTAAGTGTGTGGATGTCCTACTTTTTAAAAATTATTGTATCTGTATGTTTCTGTATCTCGTATCCTGTGTTCGTGCAACTTAGCTCCTGTTATATGAGACTACCCCATACACAAAGTTAATCAATTAAAGTTTTTTTTATTATCAATAAAAATGAAGTGTTTTTTTTTAAATTTATTTTTTTCATTGAAATAAGAAATTAATTTTTTTATTTTATATTTATAATTTATTATAAATGATTATTCATTTAGTTGAAATATTAATGTATTACTTATGAATATTAATGTATTACTTTTTAATTAATTTGTTGGCTAAAATTTAATTAATTGATCCATTCTGTCTCCTATTTTTTGGTTTTTTTTAATTTTTAATAATTAATCAAACTTTTTGTCCTTCTATTTTATATTTATAATTTATTATAAATGATTATTCATTTAGTTGAAATATTAATGTATTACTTATTTAATTAATTGTTGGCTAAAATTTAATTATTGATCCCTTCTGCTCCTATTTTTGGTTTTTTTAATTTTTAATAATTAATCAAACTTGTTGGTCCCTTCTAATCCTCCTCACACTTGGCAATTTCAAAGACCTTTTATATAATGCAAACTGCTCTGCGTTTATATATTATATAGATAATTTTAATAAAATTTTCATCATTAATTTGCTGTTAAAGTTAAAAGAGAAAGAAAAAAAAGAAAGGTGATAAGATAGATGTTAAGAAATTGTACATAGTAATTATTGTATTTAATAAAAATAAAATCAAAAAATAATTAATATTCTTGATTTTCTCAAAGCAGAGCAATGTGTAGTATTACAATGAGAAATGAGATTAAAATGCTCACTGGAGTTAGAGAAATTCTTAGGTGGACGAATGTATAAACTAAACCAATAATAAAATGCCAATTCTGAAAAAGAAATTATGAAATCATTATTCAATTATTTAAAAAAATTACAATACCATCCCTGTAGTTTAATAAATACAGTTAGTCAATTCTTATAGTTTTTAAATAAATTAATTTTTCTCAATATTTTACTTTCATTATACTATTAGATCATTCCGTTCAATTTTTGTATTTTTCCGTTAGGTAACTTATGAAATGACAATTTAAAAGGTAGTTAACTAACTCAAAAATTATACAATTTTTGATAATCTCAACAGAACCTCTTTTTTTTCATTTTGAACTTCGATTTCCTTTGTCACATTTTTTAATATATTTTTAAAAATATAATGATAGACTGATTTTATTTTCAAACTACAGAGACCCCGTACTGATAGTAAAATTATAATATCTATATTAAAATTATAATATCTCCCCTATAATTTTTATTTTTCTAATTGATTTAACAGAAAAAATAAAAAATTACATAAAAAACCTAATAGTATAAGGGAAGAAAAATAAAAAAGGAAAATTGAAATATTTATAAAAATATAGGAATACATGAACTGTGTTTCGCAAACTACTTGAACTGTAATGTAATTTTCCAATTATTTAATTACTTTAACGTAGGTTACATTCTGTAAGCAATTTCTCTTCTCTCTCTCTCTCTCTCTCTCTCTCTCTCTCTCCACACCGCTCCTCTCGCAAATTCCTACAAGCAGTTGGCGGATAGACAAAAGATGCATATATCAATGAAGCAAATAGTAAGAAAAAGAAAAGTTTTAAGAATGTAATTGGTGACCTCGTTTCAGCTCCAAATAGCCTTAAGAACGAAGAGATCAGAGAATCTGGGAATGTACTGGGTTCTAACGAAGATGCCAGCTCCTAGAAGGCTACAACTGCGAGATGAGGTAGCTTCGCTAATTCCAAATCCAACTTTACAATAAATGATTGTTTCAGGTTGGAAGAAAAAACATTGCCAGAAGAATAAAGAGGTTGAAATTTGAGAGATTGTGATAGAGGCTATTTCATATCAGGTGTGTGCGCCGTTAACAAGCATGAATTTGTCAAAATTTTCGATTTTTTGGACTATCTAATTCGTCTTTCGTTTCTTTTAGCTGGAATTATTTTGGATTGTGGATATGTTCTTGGCGCTTCTATTTTTATTTTTACTTTTATTTCTTTTTTATTTATTTATAATGATGCCTTATACAGGTAAAAGAAATTTATGCATCCACCAATTGATCGGATTCAGATATTTAAATACCCAGAAATTAATCCACACTTCTCCAGACTCCAGATGCTCATCTTTTCTCGTATTTTTTTTTAATTCTTTTTTTTAAAAGCCCATAATTTTAGTTATTTATTTATCTACTTTTGATACAATTCCTATTGAATTATACTATCTTTTCTTTGTAAAGAAGGAAAATTGAGATGGAGAAGGGACCTGAATAGGTTGATACCAATTTCAAAAACAGCATCCAGTTAGGGTCTTATAACTCGAAAATAGGCAAAATTGAAAGGTTTCAATTCTTTTAAATAATGGGTTATGTTTATCTGATTCCTAGCGGTGCATATTAAGTTCATTGTTTTTAATACTGCTAAACCTGTTTGATGATATGTTTGTATGAGTTTATATTTCCTATTTTATTAGGCCTTGTTGGCTATACTGCAATGGCTGAAGCGTGAAAGCAGCAAAATTTCTTCTTTGTCGTATAGGCAACTAATCCAAGATATGGTACATTATCCAATTTTCTCGAAAAACAAATTGAGAAACATGCAAAATACCTTCATTAAATGAAATGGGTTAGCTAATGCAGCATTCTTAATAAGCTCCCTACACTGCTATATTCTTAATAGTGTGTTAGATTGCCGCAGAGGAAGAACCCTTTTGAGTGTTGGTGATTCAATGTCATTAACATGCTTCAATCATTAGAGCGATGCAGATTTGTGGTTATGTAATTTCTTTTAAATATTTTTTTCTTTTGGGTCTTCAGCTTGTCTGCTCATCTGAGTGATCGAAGATCAACTATGTTCTTTTTATTACAAGAGAGAAGAGACACCAGTCGAGCCCATAATGAAATAACCAATTCATCTTATGTTGCCAAATGACATTATTTCTTTGATCAAATGACAAAAACCATGAAAAGATTGACCTGATTCTCTAAGATGCAGGTACCTCTGAGATTTTCATAATCAATTATGTTTTTATGTCTTCCCATTTGAATTTCATCTTCAAGCTACAGAGAAATAGAAAGAGAGAGATCTGAATTTGTTAATGGCTCCGAGGGTTTAGATTGTGGTATATGGTGGGTTTGAAATTAGGATGACATGTTGAAGCATTAAACTAGATGAAAGTTCAATTTTAAGAAGCTGGTTATGCCTGGAGAAATTACAGTACAGTTGCTTTTGGTTTCTCTCCTAACGCTTATATTCCAACACAACTGATTCAATTTGAGAGACACACAAAGTATGTGGTTTTAACTAGGGAATGTGGCTATATATGTTTCTTTGCGGTTATGCTTCCCATGTCAAATCATTTGATATTTTATGTTAAAATTTGTATTAAAAAATTTCGAAATTGTACAGTATCATTTATTTTAATGTTATAACTTGATATGAAAGAATGCCAGATTGCTTGAATATAAGAAAACGATAAGCACCTGAGTGTTCCCTTGCTTTTTGCATTTTGTGCTATAAGAAATTTTGTTATGATATTCTTCATGATCCTGTTTCTTTTATCTTCTCAATCTTTTAGCTTTTTACAGGCTTGCTTTGGAAACACACAAGATACACCAAATGCCACATGATGATTAATAGCATGTTTCTCCAAAACCTAAATGTTTGTGATCGTAGATGGAAGTCAACTTCATCAATCATTTGTCTTCTTCGAAATTTCTCACTTTGGTCCATGAAGAAAGATCCAGATCTTGAGTTAGCTCTCTCACGAAACCGTAGATGGATAGTCAATAATCAAATCAAGAACATAATCCTTAGATACCCAAACCATGCAGCACCTATCAAATATCTCCAGAAAAAGTTCAAGACTCTTGATCTTCAAGGAAAAGCGCTCAATTGGCTTAAAAAGTATCCTTGTTGTTTTGATGTATATCTTGAGAACGATGAGTATTATTGTCAATTAACAAAGCGGATGATGTTTTTGGTGGAGGAAGAAGAAGCTGTGAAAGAAATGCAGGAACCTGTATTTGTCGAGCGGTTAGCCAAATTGTTGATGATGAGCATGAATCAACGGCTTAATGTTGTTAAGCTAAATGAACTGAAAAGAAATTTTGGGTTTTCAGATGATTATTTGATCAGAATTCTACCAAAATATCCTGATATGTTTCGACTTATTAACCACAGTGGGAGGAGGAGTTCAATGGAGATTGAGCTTGTACGGTGGAATCCAGGCCTTGCAATTTCTGCAATTGACGCATCAGCTCAAAAGAAAGGGTGTGAACCCCATTTTGCATGTTCTTTGCCCACGACTTGGGTTAAGTCATGGGAGAGATTTCGAGAATTTAATTCCACACCTTATATTTCGCCTTATGCTGATGCGAGGGATTTATCAGAGGGTTCAAAAGAGATGGAGAAGAGAACAGTGGGTTTAGTACATGAGTTGCTTTCGCTGACCCTATGGAAGAAGCTGTCGCTTGTTAAACTAGGTCATTTTAGTAGAGAGTTCAATTTACCGGAAAAATTGAATGTTCTGCTGCTCAAACATCCTGGTATCTTCTATGTCTCGAATAAGTATCAGATTTATACTGTTCTTCTTAGAGAAGCATATAATGGATCAGAATTGATCGACAGGGATCCACTTGTTGTGGTGAAGGATAAATTTGGGGATTTGATGCAGGAGGGGCTTCATGAGTACAATCAGAGGCACCGTTTAATCAATCTAGAAAAGAAGAAGAAGGAAGGAATAGTATCTATAAGGCCAGAGAAAAGAAAGAATAATAGCATTGAAATGCCTGAACAAGATGATAATGGTGATAAGCTCAGACGTTTGTTCAATCCTGAGGAAAGAAAACGGTTTTATAAAGTTCTTTTTGATGATGATGCCCCATGAAAATCTTCTTGTATTTCTTTATTTATTTAATTTTTTTTGCTCTCAATTTTGCAATGATTTTGTTTGCTGTTGTGCAGGCTTGTTCATAGATTCTTGCATGCACACCGTTCACACACTCTTGATACTAACATGTTTAAACTGGGTATTTTAAAGCACTAGAGTTGAATAAACTAAGCCCAACAGTTAAAAAAAACTCAAGGCCAAACCATGTGCACTATGAATGTTGTTTTGCATATAGTAAAAAGCCCCTACAAGATTCATCCATTTGCTTTCCTAGGATGAAGAATTTAACTGTCCTAGAATGAAGGATTTAACTGTTACAAAATACTCTACACCAATAACTGGAAACAGTTATGATTGACATTCTCTTGCCGAAAACTTCCCTAATCAACACAGGTAAAATATGAATGGATTTTACACATTGGAGAATCAATAAAATTTGACAAAATCCCTCTCCCCACCATCTCACATTAAAATCAAATTAGAATAAGAAGAAAGCTACAATAATACACGGTAGACAATGGTGTTGCACACACTTGGCCGGGACACGTGAACCAGGAAAACTGACTTCCAAGCCTAAAGGGATAAAGACTGCACGCACCACTTGCTGTTGTGTTTGTAATTGTTTCTTGAGCCTTCTATGGCCATAAAAGATCCCAGATAAAAAGAAGGAAAAAAAGCATCAGACAATACTAGGAGGATCGCCTACCCAATTGCAAACAGCGCGGGGCCAACGTGTCCTTATGCAATCCACCAAAGGTGCATGTTGAGCAGGTTCAGGTTTTGTCACTTCAGAGTCTTTGCTGGTTGATTCAATTCCACCAGAGCCAGAGGACACTACCACATCTGCCATGAATTCCTCCGGAGTCCACCTTGGTGGAACTGAAACCCTGAGTTTTGTGAGCCTAGGTCTCTGCACTGGCATCTCACTTCCAGAGGCCATGTGGCTACCATTTAAATCAGATTTTGCAATCCCATTAAAATGGTAAAGGTCAAACACCTTTTTACCCATCAATCCACTTGAGTCCTTGAGGCCTCCCAAATTCTTGTCTAGATCCAAAATGACCTGCCAGAACTCACTCCAAACGATAAAGCCTGTGCTGCAAAGGTGATCGAGTTTCTCCGTGGGAAGTCTGATATTTGTTTCCCTAAGGACTTGATGGAAGCCTTCCACACTAATAAAACCACCACCCCCACTCTGATCTTGTGCATCAAAAGCTTTCCGAATCTGTGACTCCCTTTCTTCCAGCTCATTCTCATCTTGAACAGTTGTATCAAGAGCAAATAGAACTGTATAGTGGGATTCACTTCCAACAACCCATATTGGCCATTTAGGGCACTTTAAATGTTGACCAACCTTACAGAAATTAAGGGATTCCAATAGAGTAAGAAATCCAACTTCTACACTTGTGGATATGCCCTTTAGACACATGCCACCACCTAAATCCATTCTACCATCAAACACATTAGGAACAGCCTGTCCACAGAGCAGTAGATTCACAATTTCCTGTCCCAAGCATTCAAAATAAAGACATCATTAATAAATATGCTATTGCTATACAAAGGTACTAATTACAAAATTAAGCATTTATGCAGAAAGAGGACAACAAAAATACAAATGCTTCACTGTACCTGTGAGGCATGCCCAAAGGGTGCAGTGACTAAAGGAAGGCTGGGATCATCCCTGTCAGCTTGAACAGAATCCTGAAAAGAAAATGCAGTTTTACATTCATAAGTAACACAAACACCTCATGCAGAAAAGTCATGTGAATTCTTTCAATCAATTGGCCATTAGACCCAGTCACATGAATAAAACTTGAAGAACAGCTTAGTCGACAGGCAGACGTAAGTACAGGTAAAATGTTAGACAAATCAGTTAAGGATTAAATACCTGACCAACACCAGAAGAGAAAAAAAAAAAAAAAAGGAAGAAGAAGAATAAGAAGAATAAGAAGAAGAAGAAGAAGAAAGGTAAAATGTTAGACAAATCAGTTTTAAGGATTAAATAGCTGACCAACACCAGAAGAGAAAAAAAAAAAAAAAAAAAGGAAAGAAGAAGAATAAGAAGAATAAGAAAAGAAGAAAAGGAAAAAAGAAAAAGAAAAAGAAAAAAGCACACGCCATGCTAATATCTGATCATTCAACTCATAGCACACAAGATTCAAGAGTTGAAAAAAAAAAAAAAAAAGGAAGAAGAAGAATAAGAAGAATAAGAAGAAGAAGAAGAAGAAAAAGAAAAAGCACACGCCATGCTAAATCTGATCATTCAACTCATAGCACACAAGATTCAAGTAGTTGACAAAAGTATGCTAATGCCTTAAAGTGATGGCTATTATGATTAGGTCGCACTTTACAGATATATAAACAAGGCATACCAATCCTCTGGACAGCAATGCGGAAATAAGGAATAGAAGTGCCCCCATTCGAGATTGGAAGACAGGAATCATGTCCTGGAGCCTCTGCAATGCACTTGGTTGGGATGTGTATGTCTCAATTCTTAAAATTTTCTGCAGAGTAGAAGCTGATTCAATTGAAAGGCCCTCGAGTGCTTTTGCAATAATCTACAAGATATTACAAACACTAGTCAGCATATAAACACATAAGTGAAACACGATAACAACATTCCAATTAACCAAATGTTTAATGTAGAATACATTGATGTCAGTCCTAATCCAACATACCTCATCCTTTGTAGAGCCCACAGTGTCACAGCCAATGACATTCAAAGTAACAATTACAGCCCGCTTATTACTTCCACATAGGAACAATATCTCACCCATGCTTCTGACCAGGGCTCTGTAAATAAGAGAAGAAATATTTACCCGAAGAATAATGAAAATGAATTAAAAATATATGAAATATTATAAAAGAGTGGTCACAAAATACGTAAAGTTTTGGAAAAACCAACATTTCTTTCAAACTGCTGCTAGCAGAATTCAATTAAATATGAGATAACACAGCCAACTTAGAGATAACCATGAAAATCTATAATAGCATGATAGTAATTCCCAAGTGCAAAATAGAAAATGGTTATTGGGCTATACTGAGACCGAAAACCGAATGCATGTTATATATTTCTCAATGGATTCTAGGCCTCATCTTTGCAAAATTTTAGAAAACAATGTATTCTCCTATGAAGAACTAATCACCTTGCTTTTGCATCTTCAGCTAGAGAGCCAAAATTATTTGATGAAACATGTCGACTTCTATTCAATGTTCCAGAACCCAAATTTTGTTGCATGTTTGGTGCAACTTTACCTAATACATCTGGAAAGAAAAGAAGGTATTTGAGAACAAATGCCTGCACAATCAGAGAGAAAATACTGTAAGCAACATCACTTAGGACTCTGGAATTAAGGAGCACAAGCAAAACCAAAACCATCATAAAAAGATCAAAGGAGATAAATACAATGGCAGCAATGAAGGGGCAAATAAGAAACACATTATCAAGGATTTACCATGCACTGAAAAAGTTCCAATATATCAAACATCACAGGTGCAAAGCAATCACAAGATTCGACTTATATACAAAACAGACATGTGAAAAGGCAAAAGAAGTATAAGAAATGCCCCATAGGAATACGAGGAAGGAAAAAAGCAGAATGAGCATATGGAATAAAAAAAAGAAAATTCTAGGAGTTTGTTTTCTATTGCAATGCCCTCATCAACATTTTAAACCAATTAAAGTTAAAAGAATTGGCAAGGAGAGAATCCATGTCCTTGCAAAGAAATTCAACCAATTACTAGAACATAATTCAACCAAAAAAGAGGCTGAATCTTTTGGTGACACAATCAGGAAAACGAAGAACAATATACCAGTCCTTTTATTGCTCAAAAACTCTCAAATCTCATGCATCCAAAACAGCACATTACACCCTTTATGTAGCATATAAATCTGCCTAGAATAAGGTTTTCAATTATAAAAACAATAAGGATTAAACATAAAATCCTACTAGAATAAATTCCCAAATAGTATATCCTGACAGCAAAAGAATTTGAATATTCAGAATGAAGTCAAACTCAACTAAAATATAAAATATTAAAATATAAAATAATACTCAATCGGAAAATTTCTACAGAAGCATGAAACTCATGCTCCTGCATCACATAACCTTCTTAATATCTTATCAGAAGTTATATACCAAGTATAAGCCCACTTGGCAAGGAAAATTTTGGAACAACTTTACAAACCATACCAACATATTGGGACTTGACTAAAGTTCACAACAGTTTAAATTAAATATGCAGGGCACTGAATCAACAGCCAGTGTGATGTATTACACAACCACAAGGAAAAGAACTATGGTGAAATTCGCTAGAAGCCAAGAGTCCAATGAATACACTAGACTCTAGTAATCAACTAGAAGTGAACCCTGAAAATAGCAACAGAAGTTCATACAGGAAATTAATATGTTTAGTTGACTACTTTTATGTAACTTTTACATGAGATGACGTTATTTGACTACTCCAGACTAGACCATAGGCTACCCAATCTCAAATCTGATAGTAACCTCAAACATCCAAAATTGGAGATTTTTTTTTATACACATTGGAGAAATGTGCAAGCCAATGAACTTTTGCAATATAATGAATTTTTGCAATGTATGTTGCTCAAATATCACTGTTAGTTATTTTCTCTGACTTCTGCTTTTTACTAAAAGAATCTATATAAAAAAAGAAGGGCATAGGAAAAGGTCAGGAACCCAGAAAAGCTTTCTAAAGATGGATTAAGATATTTGACAGGCAAGTCAGACATGAGCTATAAGCCTATAACCAATGAGAACCAAAAGAGAGAAAAGGTGTGGGATTTAGCCAAAAGTTGTGTCAATAGGGCTGGGGGGCTTGGGTCTAGCCATTCCCATCAGGATATTGGGGTGGAGGAGAAAAAAAGTGGGGTTGTAATCTTATAAATTAATTAAAGATCATATTGAGATTTGAATGTTGCATACAAATTTTATAAATACAAATACTAAATTTTAAATACTAGTAATTGAGATTTGAGGAAGTAAGAACAAAGTTAAAAAATAGATTGTATATTTTCAAAGAAAAATACATTGCACACACTTATATAAGACAAAGTTAAAATATAAAAATATAATTTTTATTTTGAAAATGGGGCAAAATCAGGACAGAACGATGCAGCTAAAACCCAACCCAAGCCCTGCTGACTTGCTGACTTTGGCATGTGGGAATTCCCCATTGGGTTCAAGGAGGGTGTGAGTTGACATCTCCCCATCTCTAAACCAAATTGATAATTGTACACCAAAATGAATTCAATCTCAGTTTACATGATGGTGCTTACCATGAATACAAATATACCAAGTCAGATATCAAAAACAAACTAGCCTGTTGAGACATGAAAGGTGCCAACAGCATGTAGCCTATGCAACTACCAAGAAAGGCCTCATGTTAAGCATATGTGATATCACATCACATGACAGCAAAATGTACAATTATTATGAATATCACATAACAAATGGGTTAGAAATTCACATTGCACTACTACCAAAAACTTAAAAACAACATAATTACAAATCAAGGGTTTTTACTTGTATGGTTGCTAAGACGCCACAGGGCCCACCTTCATGCTGCACAAGGCCCATAGATGTTTCTGGATCAGGGCTAAACCTATAGGAACGTTTAATAGAATATTAGCTATTCACGGCATGCAAATGAAACAGCCAGAAGACATTCATTATATCAAAGAAATAGAAACAACTAGAACTCATCTTAACAACTCGCTTTTTGAAGAAAAAAAGAATCTCAAATACAGCACAAAATCAATATGTTGAACATGCAATGAAGTTAAAACTAAAATGCTAGGGCAATTTGCTTGATTGATTTGCTATGATTTGATTTGATAACAGGAAATCCGTGTGTTGGACAAAGAAAAATAGAAAGCATCATATTTTTCAGGCTTAAGGATTGCAAACTATAATTCAATATTGGCAAAAGGGTATTGGAATATTTATGAATTTGGATTAAAATACTCTCTTCAGATAAAAAAAAGGTGCTTGGTAGCCTATGATTATAAAAATCATAAATTGTATGAAGCTTTTCCTCTTCATTGCTTACTGCACATGGCCACCAGCTAAGTATTACCAATCTTGTTAGCAGCAAACAAATTCTCATCAAATAGTTATGTAAACAGCAGACCGTACGCAGTGATATAATACCAAATTCAGTAGCAGAAGCAACTAGCCTCAAAGGAATTGACTTGAGACACAAAGTTTTTAACTGATTTTATTATTATTATTATTATTATTACAAACTAGCCTCAAAGGAAATTGACTTGAGACACAAAAGTTTTTAACTGATTTAATTAATTAATTATTATTAATTTAATTATTATTATTATTATTATTATTATTATTAATTATTAATTAAATTCAAGCTTTCTTGTGATTTGAATTAATTCATCCTACCAAAATTTTATTATTATTATTATTTAAATTCCAGCTTCTGTGATTTGAATTAATTTCATCTACCAAAATTCACTCCACAGCTGCCAAAAATATAGATAAAATCATGCATAAGGAACATTTAAGGTTACCTTATGCCTTGATTACTCCATTGTGCAAGAATGTCCTTCGAAACTACACTACCAAACACCATTGTGAACAACTGATTCGCCTCCTCAATCGACAATTCTTTTCCTAAATTACTCTCCCTCGAGCCAAAATCCTTCTTTTTAGCAAACTCCACGCTTTTACTGGGGCCTCTATCAGTGGCTTTTGAAGGAGAGGCGATTTTATTTTCAGCCAATCTTTTTTCAGCAGCCGCAGCCATAAGCTCTCTCTGGCGTCTGCGAGAATCCTCCGGCGAAGCCACAGGAGCACCAATAGCATCTCTCGGCTTGCTTCGCTTAGGTTCTGGCGGTGAGTTTTGCATACTCATTCTTAAAGCCATTCTCAGGTCCTCTTCCTCTTGATCAGCCATTGAAGAAAGAGATCACAACAAAAGATCCCAAAAGCAACAGAATTTAGCAAAATAGGGTTTTTCTTATAGGTATTTATAGATCGATATGAATTGATCGAAAGAATAATTCCAAGAGAGATTATTCGATTTCAATACAGAAGATCAAAAAAGATTTTTGGATCATAAAATCATAAAAAACCCTAATGAATTAGGGTTCAGGTTTTGATTGATCCGCGAATGGCTAATCTTTGCGAGCGAGACGATTTTTTTTTAATTTCGAAAAGGAGAAGACAAAACAAGGTAGATTGGGATTTTAAATCCAGGACAAGGTCAAAAATGGAAACGAAATTTACAAAAAAAAATCAAGTTTCAAGTGACCGTACTTTATTTGGGTGGCGAAACGACATCGTATACTGCTTTCTGTAACCTATAGTGGCGAACCAAAGTTTAAAAACTGAAGAAATGAGAGGGTAATGTGGGAAATTCCAAATAGTGAGAAATACTTTTCTTTAATGGAGAGAAAAGCGTTATGTTTCGCTGTCTTGGAGAATCTTTGCAAGTTTGGGAAGTTGGGAAAAATTGGGTGGTTTCAGGTGTACAAAAGTTGTCCATAGGAGTGATTATCAGCTGTTGGATCTTTTTGAAAGGTGAATAGATCAATGCAGATGCTTGAGCATACACTGCACAAATGGTGAATGTCTGTAGCAAGTATTATGTTGTTACTTTTCTGAAGTTTAAAAATGGGGTTGTTTAGTATGTGATGAAGAAATCTGTCTCTAAGATTGAGACATCGAGACAAGATGGTTATGTAATGATGGTAATAATTATAAGAGTGTAACCGAAGGATTTTTTTTTTTACTTTTGATTAAAATATTTTAGAAAACTTCAATATTTTAAATTCACATATGCATTTCTCATGAAAAATTTAATAGCACTTTAAATTTTTAATTTGAGTTATTCAATCTGTTAAATAGTACTTTATTTGCGTAGTTGAATATTTTATTTATAAAATTATATTGATTAAATTATTTTTTTATAATTAAAAAATATAAATATTATTTCAAAAGTTATATACATGTATCAAAATAATATTTAGTGTATAAAAGTTAAAATATTAAAATTATTATTTTTAATTTAAGTGTACAATTATTAAAAAAATAAAATTAAAAGTGTCGCAAGATCGATTTTAAAATTTAGGGTGCCACAAAATTTTTTATTATAAGATTTTTTTATCAAAGTCAAGGGTTGAATTATGTATACACGGTCATTTTAGAAACTTGCAAGACATTCGATGGTCATGACCAATTTCGTGAGGGGAAGTACAAATTAACTCGTGAATTTTGATGAAAAAATCTTCTGCCACTTTAAAATTGACTTGGTGACACTTTAGAATTCACTTTTTATAATAATTCTACACCTCCTTGCTACTAAAAACAATAATTTTTAAAATTTTTTATTTTTATATATAAAATATTGATTTAGTATGTGATTAATAAAACTTTTAGAATAATAATTTTTATATTTTTTAACCATCTAATAAATATTTAATCAGTCTAATTTTATAAATTAAAGTATTGAATAGGTCAAATAAAATATTTAACATGATTAATTATGGAGACAATTGCAATTTTGGTGTATGAATTTTGCAATTTTTTCTATTTTAGTGCATGAATAAAAAAAATTTACAATTAAACGGTTGAACTCCCCATAATTTTGGGATTAAGTGAAATTTACCTACATGGATCCCTCGAATCCTACAGAGATGGCTGGACCCACTTTTTTTATTTTTTTAATTATTGATTAGGCACCAAATAAGATGCCACGTGGGCTGGCCACGTAGATTAAAATTCAAGAGCATGTGAAACGGCTTATTTACCGTTATTTTGAAAAAAAAAAAAAAAAAACATGGAGGAATAATAATCAAAACAAAACCATCAAACAAACAAGACCACATGCAAATCCATGTCATTTTTGACAAATAACAATCAGGAACTTTTTGACAAATATCAATCGTAAAAATGGAAAATCACAGCAAATTCTCACTAAAACCACCAGCGACTGTCACCACACAAGCCCCCACCGGACCTCCGCTGTAGCCGACGTCCAGGGTGGCCGAAAAGTTGATTCTTGCCAGAACTATGCGATTCATACATCCCCACACTCGAAATTTCATGGGAGCTCAATTTTGTCGTCCGTTTGTTGAGCCAGTGGCTAGTTTGACCGGAATAGGCACCGACAGTCGCTTGATGCCGCCATTAATGGTGGTTTCACCATTCGAGCTTTGTTGTCGGAATTGACAGAGGGGAAACGATCGCACAAGTGAGGGGAGTCGATCACTTCTCGTCCTTCACGTTGAAACTGTCAGAAACGGCAAGAAATCGCCGGAGATCGAAAAGCATGGACTATCGACGAAAATAGGCCTGATTTTCGTCAACGGAGACTCTTTCTGCATGCAAGGAAGCCGAAAACGTGAACAGAGCGTGAGAGGTTCGACCGCCTCTTTTCTTCGTCGATTTAATGTCCGGAATCGGTCTGGCGGTAGTGGACAGGGACGTCGCGCGGTGAAGATCGGGGAGAGAGAGTGCGAGCGAGAGAGAGAGAGGCGTTGAGATGGGTAACTGAGAAGGTTAAGGGTCTTGTAGGGGGTAAATAGGTCATTTACTACACCTTTAAGTTTTAATCTTCGTGGCAACCCACGTGGCATCTTATTTAGCGTCTAATCAACAATTAAAAAATAAAAAAGTGGGTCCCATGAATTCCAGCGATCCATATAGTTAAATTTCACTTAATTGTAAAATTATTAAGAATTTAAATACTCAATTGTAAATTTTTTCCATTCATTTGTCAAAATAGAAAAAATTGCATAGTTCATACATCAAAATTACAATTATTTCTTAATTTTATAAATTAAAATAAAAATTGAAGTGTCACAAAATTTACGGTGTAAAGTATAAAGTAAATTTATGTATTCAACAATTTAAGGTAAGTTTTGATAAGGTAAATACAATATTTCATCATTTAATTTTGATAAATAAAGACAAACTGAAATTCTAAGTTTTTTTTAAAATCACTCAAAATTTTATATTTTGAATAATCACATATCATTAGACTCAAAAAGCGCTGTGTGATGATGTGGCGATTACATATCTAAGTGGCAAGAAATTTTGCCATATAAGAACTGAAATAACTATCAAACCAATCAACTCTGGATGCCAACAAAACCCACAAGCTAAAATCAATACAAATATCCCACACAACAAGTGCTCCTATCAAATATTGAAAGAAAGAAAAGAAACTATCATAGTTCTGAAAAAAAAAAAAGCTTATTTGCATCTTCAACGAAAGGTCCATTATTCTAAATCTGTTAAGAAAGCAAATAAAACTGAAAAAAAGAATTCTGATCTATTACTCTAAATCTATTAAAGAAGCATGCAAAACTGACAAAAAAAATCAAGACCCAACGAGGTTCTTCCTTGCAGATGAATCTATCAACAAAGTAATAACTTTTTTTTATTTATTAGAGGCTTTGAACTACGATAACATTTTTAGCTATATAATAGAGATATCTCTTCCCTTAACCTACTAAATTAGTGAAAACTTTTATAATTTAGAGGATTTGAACATGAAATCTATCATTTTTTACATTAATTAGAAAATTAATTAGTGTTTTGATAACTTTAGAATTTTCTTTAGAGGAAAAACAAATGATAGATCAAATTAAAGCCGAGCAGTTCTACGCTGGACTAAATTGGTTTGGTTTGGTTTGGTATGACCAAATAGATTTTATAGTGACCAAAATCAGACCAAATACTGTGAAAAGTGGTTTGATACTCCGGTTTGGTTATTCCGAATCGAATAATCTATTTTGGAGCAAAAATTAATTCAATTAACTATATACAAAACCGAACCAAAACCAAAAACCGAACGATTATCACTATTCAAACCAAACAATAACTGAATTTTTTTTAATTTATTGAACCAAACCGAAATGAGTCAGTTCCATTCGATTTTCAAGTCACCCAAATACTGCTCACCTTTAATCAATTGAAATTAGCCGAGATTCTTCTATATCTATTTATATGGAAGTTTGAGACACCTTGTCCACCAAGTTAGTAGAGATATCTTAAGAAAGATAAGATGTCTAATTATGCATACTTGGTTAGTTGTATCGCTGATTCAAAATTTTTAAGATGTCGAATCTGGATAGGTCCTTAAAGCACCGATCTTGGTTCCAGTGTGGTTCCAATGATTTTGACATGGTTCCGACAATATATGTATTATTTTTTCAAAAAAAAAAAAATTTAGTTATAAGTTTGTCCTTTTTTGGTAAAAATTAATATGAATTTGAAAAATGATTTTTTATTTTAAATAACTTTTAAAATGCTTATACACATATACAAATAAAATTAACTTTTCAAATAAATACAAAATAAACAAATAAATTATGATTTTATTTTATCTAACTGTTATTAATTAAATAAATTAGTAGAAAATTTTGAAAGCGAAAAAATTCTTTTGAACAATGTAATTTTGGGCCAACTAAAAAAAGAAAATTGTTAAACTCTCATTTGTATGAAAAAATATAATTTTTAGACTAAGTATTTTACGTTTTTAGACATTTAACTTTTTATTAAGTCAAGTGTATTACACAATCGCAGATTTACTTAAACTTTTAGAGGTGCATAAAATAGACTAATAATAGTGTATTGGATTAAGATTGTATTAGATTTTAAAAGAATTGTCAAGTTTGATGGAATTAAATAATTTTTTAAGATTTCTATAGATTCCATTAAAATTCTATAGAGTTTTATGGAATTTGTGAGATTTTTTTTTTTTATAGATTTTGATGAAATTACAATGATTTTTTATATATCCAATCAAAATAAATTTCGAAATCTAATTGAACAAATTAAAATGTTTTTTAGGTCAATTGAAAAATTGAAAAATAATAAGGGACCAAAAAACAAAATGTGTCATCTTCTCCGAAATTATTTTCTTCTTCATTAAAACCTTACTACCGCCGACAATGAAAGGCTTGCAATGGCTGGCATCGCCGCTAGTCATCCTGCGCCCCCAAAACAGTTACGATGTGGTCAGAAGACTATAGACTTCTCATCCCATGACTGAACAACGATCGTTTCGTCGGAAAAATATATAAATTTAAAATCAAAAACTAGTAACAACTGCTAGCCAGGACCTATGCCAGCTACTGGAACTCGTTCAAGGAGGCAGCGGACCTTGAGACAAGCCCGATGCATGGTCCACCGCCTGCGACACACAGAGCTTGGCAGTCC